CATTAGGCCACGCTGAGGCGGCGTCCCACATACCACAACTAGAAGGACCCACAACTAAAATATACAACTACGTACTGGGGGATTTGGGGAGAAAAAAGCAGGAAAAAAAAAAGAAGATTGGCAACCGTTGTTAGCTCAGGTGCCAATCTTAAAAAAAATAAAAAATTTAAAGATAAATAAATAAAAAGTCCATTCTGTGACCCCAATTTCACTCAAGAAAAAATTTAGGTAAAATTCACAAACTTTACCCAAGACATATGTAAATATATGTTCATAAAAAGATTTAGACGAGAATGTTCATAGTGGCTTGTACAAGAATCTTCAAAATGCTCTAAACTGGAAACACTGCAAAAGTATATCAGCATGTGAATGAATAAACAGGGTGTGGGGTCGTCATACAATGGAATACTACTAAGCAACGAAAAGGAACAAACTGCAACACATGAGACTTATGATGTGGCTGAGTCCCAAAGTCATTATGCTGAGTGAAAGTAGCTGGACCCCAAAATTCACAGCATGTAGGATTGTATTTATATGAAATCCCAGACAAAACTAATCATGGTGAAAGAAATAAGAACGGCGATTGCCTCTGGGTGTGGACTGGACTGGAAAGGGCATGAGGGAACTTTCTGGGGGTTTGGAAATGTTCCGTATTTTAATAGGGATGGTGTATGCATTTGTCCAAACTCACTGAATTGTGACTCATAAGATCGGTGCGTTTCACTGTATGCAAATTATAACTTAAAATAAAAATTAAAAGACAAAAAATAATGCATGTAAAGAATTACTATGAAGGCTAGCAAATATTAAGCACTTAATAAAATTTATCCACTATTATTAAATTTTTTTAATTATTTACTTTAAGGGAAAAAAGGTGTCTTTTTCAGATGATGTTTGTAATCACCTATTTGCCTCTGCAGCATAATTACATTAAAAATAACATAGCAGAGGCCGGCCCTGTGGCTGAGTGGTTCAGTTCGCACACTCTGCTTCGGCAGCCCAGGGTGTCGCTGGTTCGGATCCTGGGTGCGGACATGGCACCGCTCATCGAGCCATGCTGAGGTGGCGTCCCACATGCCACAACTAGAAGGACCCACAACTAGAATATACAACTACGTATGGGGGGCTTTGGGGAGAAGAAAAAAAAAAAGAAAAGAACAAAAAGGAAGATTGGCAATAGATGTTAGCTCAGGGACAATCTTTAAAAACAAATTTTAAAAATAACATAGCAAACATCAAACGGTAACAACAACAAAGCCCCCAACATCCACAGCAAAAACACAAACCTCTCCAACTGGTGGATGGGATTAAAAAAAAGAAAAAGCACCCCCTGATTTGGAAAGCCCAGGCAGAGGTTCCTGCTTCCATGTGGATCTGTGTATGTTTTTAAGGAAACTTTCCAGCTACAAGTGCCATTAAAAAGCAAGTAGCAAAATAAATATTATTGGGACAACTGGCAAATTTGAATATGGGCTGTATATTAGAAAATAGTATTGTTTCAATGTTAAATTGCCTATTTTAATAATTGCGTGGTGGTTATTTGAGTAAATATGTTTGTTTTCATGCAATGCACGTAAGCACTCAGGGTAACCTAACTCCGTCCACAACTTATTCTCAACAGTAGCAGGCGTGTAAAGAGAGACAGAGAGGCAAACACGGCTAAATATTAACATCCAGGAGTCTGCATGAAGAGTGTACCGAAGTTCATTGTATTATTCTTGGATCTTTTCTCCAGGTTAAAATTTTTTTCAAAAGCCAAGAGGTTAAAATCAGAATAAACTGAAGAACAAATTCCCAATTGGCCATATCACAAAACATGTGAACCAAGATTTAAAAAAGAATAATGAAATATTTTTAATCACATTCCTCTCATAAAACTCATAAAAAAATATAGTTTTCTTGAGGCAGATTAGCCCTGAGCTAATATCTGCTGCCAATCCTCCTTTTTTTGCTGAGGAAGACTGACCCTGAGCTAACATCCGTGCCCATCTTCCTCTACTTTATATGTGGGACACCTACCACAGCATGGCTTGCCAAGCGGTGCCATGTCCACACCTGGGATTTGAACCAGCGAACCCTGGGCTGTCAAAGCAGAACATGTGCACTTAACCGCTGCACCACCAGGCCAGCCCCAAAATATTTTACTAATAATATTTTTTTGTTAGCACAATAAAGTTTTTGTATCATTAAGAAATCAGATAAAATATTATATTTAGGCTATTCTTTCTTTTTTTTTTTTTTGGTGAGGAAGATTGGTCCTGAGCTAGCCTCTCTGCCAACCTTCCTCTATTTTGTATGTGGGACGCCACCACAGCATGGCTTGATGAGTGGTGTGTAGGTCCATGCTTGGGATCTGGGCCAGCCAAGTGCAGTGTGTGAACTTAACCACTATGCCACTGGCCCAGCCCCTATTTAGGCTATTCTTTTTGTAAGTTTTTATTTTGAAATAATTTTAGACCTACAGAAAAGTTGCAAAAATGGTTTAAAGAACTCCCGGAAGTCCCTTCAACCAGATTCCCCAATTTTATCACATTTGCTGTATTATTCTGTCTCTCTCTCTATGTATATACACACACACATACACACGTATGGCTGGCTTTCATATATATACACATACATCCATATGTATGCTCTTTTTCCTGAGACATTTGAGAGTAAGTTGTAGACATGATGCCCTTTATTTCTAAATACTTCAGTGTGTATTTCCTAAGAATAAAGACATTCTTTTATAAAACCACAGTAAAATTATCAAAAAGAAGTTAACATTGACATAACAGTATTAACTAATCTATAGACCTTATTCATGTTTTACCAATTGTCTCAATAATCTTTATGTAAATAGAAATAAATGTCTCTATTTTTTTAACTTTTCCCCCTAGTTCGAGGGTCCATCCAGGATAGCATATTGCATTTGGTTGTCAAGTCTCTTTAAACTCTGTTAACCTGGAACAGTTCATCAATCTCCTTTTATCTTTCAAGGGTTTAATATTATTATTATTATTTTTTGATGAGGAAGATTTGCTAACATCTGTTGCCAATCTTCCCCCCTTTTTGCTTGAGGAAGATTAGCCCTGAGTTAACATCTGTGCCAATCTTTCTCCACTTTGTATGTGGGTTGCCACCACAGCATGGCTGACGTGGTGTAGGTCTGCACCCAGGATCTGAACCTGTGAACCCCAGGCCGCCAAAGCACAGCATGTTGAACTTAACCACTACATATGGGGAGTGCCTCAAGACCTTAATAATTTTGAAGTGCACAGTAGACTGTACTTTTTAATCTTTCTTTGTGTGAATGTTTCTTAAGGTCCACAAAAATAAGCATTGTGATTATTTATTTATTTATTTATTTTTAGGAAGATTAACCCTGAGCTAACATCTGCCACCAATCCTCCTCTTTTTGCTGAGGAAGACTGGCCCTGAGCTAACATCTGTGCCCATCTTCTTCTACTTTATATGTGGGACGCCTACCACAGCATGGCTTGTCAAGCGGTGCCATGTCCACACCCGGGATCTGAACTGGCAAACCCCGGGCTGCCAAAGAGGAACGTGCGCACTTAACTGCTGCGCCACTGGGCCGGCCCTGTGATTATTTACTATGTATGTTGTGGGAACATACTCAAATTTTGTACTGATGGGCTATATGACTGAAAAGATTGGAGCCCACTGTTTTATAACCTTCTTGCATGTACATTTTCCTATTTGGAAAACTGTAAGTTATCTGCTGTATAATGCTGAGAAAACATGGAGTTGCTCTAATCGCCTGTAGCACTTGGTTTCAGTAGCAATCTTTGTTTCCAGCCACGTACTTTGGCTGTAGGCAGCAGAGACTGACTCCAGCGAACTTTAGCAAAATGGAAGAAAAGCTAAAACTCCAGACTTGAGAGGGACTGGTAGTGGGGCATTCTCAGCTGGAGGAATCCACTCCTTCCAACTCCTTCCAACTTCTGCGTAACCTGCTCTGTAGTCAGACTCCCTGCGAAGCATCTGATTGGCTCAGGGTGAGCCATATGCTCCTTCCTTGGACTGGGGGACGTTGAGGGAAAGAAATCACAGGCCTGTAGCCAATGGAGCTTTGGCCAAGGGTGGCTTCCCAGAGCAAAACTGAGATGCTATTATCAGAGGAAGGCGGGCTGGGACTGGGCGTCCACAAATGACCTGCATCCACTGCTGGCAGTTTGTGCTCAGGAGGCCCCATTAAGGCTTCCGTGTCCGCAGCTCCTTTGGAGGCAAGTGGGGCTCCAGCCTCACGCCATGTTGTTCAAGTACCCAGGCCACAGCTCACTGACCAAGGCCCAGGGTCTGATCCAAGCCACCATCATGGCCCACCCGGATTGTTGTAGGAGCCTCCTCGCTGGCCTCCCTGCTTCCATCCTCATCCTCCGACAGGCCCTCCTTGATATGCTGCCTGCTTCCCTCTGATGCCAGTCTCCTGCCTGACCACCACACTCCAGCTACAACAGCCCTGTTTGTTTACCCCAAGCACACCCAGTTCATTCCTGCCTCGGGGCCTTTGCACCTACGGTTCCCTCTCCCTGGCATGCCTTCCCCTGGTTACCTGCATGGCTTTTTATGAGTCTCAGGTAAACAGCCACCACTTTAGAGGGCTCTTCCTGAAGCACCTATCTGAAGTCACCTTCCCAGCATGCTCCATCACATGACCTGATTTATTTCCTTCCCAGCCTGTATCAAAATCTGAAATGGTTTTGTTCATTTCTTTGTCCACTGTTTTCTGTCTCTCTCCCCACCGTTAGCATGTAAGCACCCCCACAGCCTGGATCTTATCTCCTCTGACTGCCTAGCCTGGTGCCTGGCACATAGGTGACAATAAATATTGAACGAGCAAATGACTCAATCAATCAGTGACACATCAGGTCGTTTGTTGAGAAGCTCAGCCCTCAAGCGGGTGGACTAACCACCCCAGTCAAACTCTTCTCTCTCTGATTTCCCTCTATTTGTTTCCTTTCTGCTTTCTAGTGAAATGCAGGAATATTGTATTTTTCTTTTTTAAAAGTTTTTAATTTGTGGTAATATATACATAACCTAAAATTTGCCATTTTGACCATTTGAAGTTACTAAGTCAGAGGCATTAATTACGTTCACAATGTGGGCAAGCATCACCAGTTTCCAGAATTTTTCATCACCCCAAACAGAAACTCTGCACCTACTAAGCAGTAACTCCCCATTCTCCCCTCTCTCCAGCCCTGGTCACTTCTAATCTACTTTCCATCTCTTTGAATTTTCCTATTACAGGCATTTTATATACACGGAATCATATAACATTTGCCCTTTCGTTACTGGCTTCTTTCACTTAGCCTAATGTTTTCAAGGTTCATCCATGTGGAGGCATGTCTCAGAACTTCATTCCTTTTTTATGGGCAAATAATATTCCATCGTATGGATATACCACACCTTGTTTATCCATTCCTCTGTTGATGGCCGCTTGGGTTGTTTCCACCTTTCGGCTGTTGTGAATGCTGCTGCTGTGAACGCTGGTGTATGGCCTTCTGTTCCAGTCTCTGTTCTCAATCCTTTCGGGTAGATGCCTAGGACTAGAATTGCTAGGCCATATGGTAATTATGTTTCACTTTTCAAGGCAGCACCGAACTTCTCTCCATAGCAGCTGCACGACCTTACATTCCAATCGGCAAGGCACAGGTTTCCGATTTCTCAAGATCCTTGTGAACACTTGTTATTTTCCCTTTTTTTAAATTATAGCCACTAATAGGTGTGATTCTGCATCTGTGACTTTGATTTGCACTTACCTAATGGCTGATGATGTTGAGTACTTTTCCATGTGCTTATTGGCTGCTTGTATATCTCCTCTGGAGAAATATCTATTCAAGTCCTCTGCCCATTTTTAAATTGGGTTGTCCTGTTGTTCTTGAGTTGTAGGAGTTCTTTATATATTCTGCATGTTATAAAAGTCTATTCTTGGGAGCAGCACAAACGCAAGGTGCCCAGGATTGACCAGAACGGCATCAAGCCCAGTCACCTTCCCCATCGTCTGAGGCCGACTGTGCACCCCAGCCTGGCAGGCTCCGTGACTCTGAGTTAAGAATACTCATAGCTGGCTTGTCTCCACTGCTCACTGTCCGCTGGCGCCCTGTCTGAGCTCATTCAATCTCTCAGCATCCTTGGGGTACTTACTCCTATTAATCTCATCTTACCGATAAGGAAACCGAGGTCTGCAGGGGTCAGATAGCTTGTCCAAAGTCACACAGCTGGAAAGTGGCAGAGCTGGGATCTGAACTCAGGCCTTTTGGCTTCAGAGTTTACTTTGCCCTCCTGCCTTGGGAGGACGTTGCCATGGAACAAAGACAACCTGTTTGTGGCTTTCCCTGGCCTACTTCAAGGGAAGGGCAGAGACGGTCGGTTTCAGTGCACAGGCTTTGAAACCCAATTCTTTAAGAGACCAGTAAAGTACATATCGGGAGCTCCCAACCTCTGAGTTACTGTTTTCAGGAGCAATTCAGAATCACCAGAGGAGGAGCTGAGTGGTGCACATCCAACCCCATGACCTGTGTCTCCAGGGAGCGGGGCTGGGCTGGGCGGATCACGCTAAGGACCAGCCCTCAGCCAGCCCGGTAACCTTTGGACTTGTGGGTGGCTCCTGCGGCAGACATGAAGACTGTGAAGCAATTGACAGTTGGGTTTATATTTAGAGAAAAAGGGGGAAGCAAGCCTCTTACTGATAGTGAAGAAGCTCACTGTGCCAGCTTCATTTCCAGGCATGCCTCTTCGGGCTACGAACCTCCCCCAGCGCTGCCTCCACCTGTGGGAGGTCAGAATGAATGCTGAGCTTTGAGCAGCAGACAGAATTGCCAGCTCCCGGCACATTCGCGTTGCACAGCAATGACCCTCATCATGGACAACACCGCCTGCAGGCTGACTCTCTTCCAGGCTTTGGGTCAAGTTCTTCCCACGCATTATCCTATTTAATAAAAAGCGTTGATACAATAGCTCACGCTTAATGGGCACTTACTATGCCAAGTGCTCACGTGGACTATCTCACAACCCATATGGAAGCAGGCACTACTGTTATCTTTCTCATCTCACAGATGAAGAAACTGAGGCACAGAGAAGTGAGGTTAATTTGCCCAAGATCATATATAGTAAGTAGCGCAGCTGAACCCACACATTCTGGCTCCAGAGTCCAGCCTCCTGGAGGGGCTGAGAGTGAATGACTTGCCCAAACTGTGAGGCTACCAAATGCTGTGCCAGGGACTGGAAGCCAGGGCTATTGGCTGCAGGGTCATTTCTGTTCACTGTGCCATGTTTCTAATGACCTTAAATCCTGATTTCCTGTCTACCATACCCTGTTGCATCCATGCCCCAAATACCTGCTCTGCAGAGCCAGGACTGTGATCACCATCTCTCCTGCTCACAGACCTTCAGTGGCTCCCAGGTGCCCACAGGGTCAAATCCGGACTCTTGGAGTGACATTCAAGATCCTCAAAGACCAGGCTGATCTTGCATCACCCCGATTTCCTAGCTTGTCTTGTGCACTCATATCTCTAACCAGATGAACTACTCATTGTTCCTTGCTCCTCCTTAGTGCAAGGGTCAGACCTGGCACGCAGGGCCACACACAGCCCTCAGACGCATTCCTCTGGCAAACACCGTATTTTATGTTTAATATCAGTATGGGATCATGGTTTCTTCTTTTTTCCCCCCTAAGGAATTATAATTTGTTAATATCATTATTTACTTTAATGTTCAGATTGTCCCAGATTCAGCCAGTAGGAACCCCTCAACCTGGCTTTTGTGTCTTTTAACAAGTCCCATCATTCGTTTGACATTTCCTTACTTTCTGGCTCAATAAGACGTTCCAGGCTCACGTTCCTTGCCCCAGCCCCGAGACTCAGTGATTTCTCCAAGAACACTTGGTTCCTTTTAGTGGAGAATGGCAGTTAGGAAGTAAGATCTGGGTGCTAGGTGCTTGTTGCTCTAGGGGTGTCATTTCTTGTAGGCTCTCTTGGCACACAGAACCAGGAAGTCTATTTACACAGAGTGTTTATAACTGAGAAATTTCACTTACAAATCTGGACTTCTAACTCCTCTTCAGAAACCTGGATATCAGATCACAATCAGCCAGGAAACTGGCAACAATTAGCAGGGTGGGGGTTCAACAGTATTTGTTTTCTCACTAAAGTACTTATTGAATGCCTACTGTGAGCCAGGTACGGTCATACACCACGTAACCACGGGGACACGTTCTGAGAAACGCGCCATTGGGCAGTTTCTTTGTTGTGTGAACGTCAGAGGGTGCACGCACACTAACCTAGAGGGTCTAGCCTACCACACCTAGGCTAGATGGCACTAATCTTAGGGGACCACTGTCATCTATGCAGTCCATTGTTGACTGAATCATCGTTACGTTAGGCTACATTACCACTGTGCCCAGTACTATCTAGTATGAGACTGGTACTCAAGCACCTAGTTGCACCCACCTTACATGCTTGTAGGCAGCTGAGTCTCAATTTCCACTCCTTGCTTTTGATTCTTTTCTTCCCTCCAGCTGGAAGGAAAGCTGGACATCCTCAAGTGCCCAGCTCACTCAGAGCCCAGCTCCAACGCCACCTCCTCCGTGGGGCTGTCCCCAGTTCGCCCTGTCGGAGGTCACGTCTCCATTCTTTAAGCTCTATGCCGCTCTCATAACATTTACCACCTTCTATCCCGGAATTACGGGTATTTAGTTCATCCTACTCCTGTTTTATTCTTTCTGATAAGGCGACTGCGCGCTCCTTGAGGGCAGGCGCTGTGTCTGTCTTGCTCACAGTTACGCCCCTTAAATCTAACATAAATCCTGGCATTTAATAAAAACTTTGTTCAGAAACACTGTTGGACTCCCGTTTGTGTGTGGGAAGTGTATCTATGGCAGACAGTAGTGATATAATTGTGAGCAAAACAGATAGTTATGTCCTCATGGAGCTTACTGACTTCTGGGAGAGAAATATATTAATAAAAATCACATAATATGTATTTGTGACAAGATTTAAAAAACACATGATCGATATTTGCATTACTGTCCCCCGCTGACTTTATACACTTATACACACCCTTAGACAATACGGTTTCCATTTCAGGGCACGTCCTGCAGAGCTACACAGGCTTCCATCATCCTTTTCAGTGACACACCCTAGTCACCAGCACGGACACACCACTCCCCTACTGACGGACATTTAGCATGGTTCTGGTTTTGATTTTGCATTACAAACAACGACGCAACAGGTTTCTTGGTGCATGTACGCTGGTTTCTCTAGTAGATTCCAAGAAATCAAACTGCTGGGTCCTAGGGTTGCTTTTCTTTTTCATTTTTCGTTCTACACACGTCTGCATCGTTGGAATTCATGTGCTACTTTTGTGATGAGAAAAACGCCTAAAAAATAGAAAGAAGTAGGTAGATTGTTCGTGTTGTTGGCTCTTAGCAAGTAGAGGTGCCTGATCATTGTCATGACTGTTACATAACCTGCGAATCATTATGTAATAAAATCTGGAGAGATGCTCCTGCGGTTCCACGTTACCAAGCAGAGGAATCTCAGGCCTTCAACCTCGTCTAAAAGATGAGACACACGACTCTCTTCGGAGACTTTGGGTCTTTTCTGATATGAAATGTCACCGAGTCTCGATGACCAGGGTTTCCTACTGGTAAAGCCTTCTGCAAACTCTGTTTCCCTTTTGGCTGTCACAGAACCACGGAGCTGCAAGGGACTTATTAGCAGTCTCATGCAGTCCCACAACAGTTTCCAAAGGTCAGTTGTGAGTTGCTGCAAAGGCAGACAATTCAGGTGGGCCAGTTTTTCTCAGCTGGAATCCCTGTAAACACCATTCCCTTGCAGGTGATTAAGAGAGGAGCTTAAACCTGAGCTGATAAAGGCTGAAGTGCACAAAGACCTTGTGCGGTGCTAGGACAGCACCAGATAAATATAGTCACTGCTGCTGCAGGAACAGCAGGCTGCTCCTTCTCCAAATGCTTCCCCAGGTACGATGTCATTCCCTCCTGAGACAAGACCCCCCGGCTTCAGCTGGGGACACCAAGGCTGAGACAAAGAGTCCTGCAGCCAAGGAACATCTGTTGGGCGCCTCCTGATCAGACATGTGCAGAGCTCAGGGGAAACACAGAGGAGTAAGGAGCGCCAGGTCTTGTGGGGGTGTCAGGTTTAAAAATACATATAATCCACTGCAGTAAGAGCTCAGATAAAATTATGAAAGACAGTGTTGGGGAACCAGAGGAAGGTGGATCTTTGCCTGGAGGAATCAGAGAACGCTTCAGAAAGGATGTGAGGACTGAGCTGGGGCTGGAAGTCAAGAAAGCAAGGAAGGAGGTGAGGGGAAGAACATTCACACTGAGGGAAGAGCATATAGAGGCTCAGAGGCAGAAGGGTGGAAGAGCACGCTAAGTGCAGGGAGCCAAGAGCACGTGGAGGAAGAGAACTTGGCATGGGGTGGGCTCTGAGTCTTGAATAAGTGGCTGGAGTAAGTTAGAGAGAGAGAATGAACGGTTCAATCGCAAACGTGTTCAACACAGTCTTGAGTACGTGCCAGGCACTTTGCAAACACTAGGGATTCAGTGAGTGGTGACCCACAAAAGCCGAGTCCTCGGGGAGCCCAGAGTCAACGTGGTGGGTGGGAGTATAGACAAATCCACGAAGTGAAATGACAAGCTACCAGGATTGACGTCAGTGTAGACCACGCAGGTACTGCAGGTGCCTGGTGAAAAGTCACAAGGCTAGGAGGCAATATTTTGGCATCGTTTTCCCCAAGGGAAGTTGAGGGCAGAGACCGGTCATTTTCTTTGACTTAACTACTTAAAAAAACAAAACGTATTTAGATCTTTACTATACGCCAACTACTGTAATAACTGGTTTCTATATATTAATTCTCACATGAATCCCACGAGGCGGTACAATTATTCCATTTTACAGGTGAAAAAGCTGAGGCTCAGAGAGGTTAAGTAATTTGCCCCGTGTCACGCAGCTAGGAAGTGGCAAAGGCAAAGTTGGGGCCCCGGTCTTAACGACAGCCTGTAACGTCAACAATGCTCCCAAGGCGGGATTCAGTCTCGCGTGATCCCGCGCATCTCACTTGCTCTCGGTATTTCCGTCCGTAAAATGGGGCGAGGGGTCCAGCCGTCAGCTCAGGCGCGGTCGGGAGCGCAGCTCGCGGTCACCTGGACGGGGGGCAAGTCCGGGCGGCGGAAGCCGCGGTCCGCGGGCTGCGCTCACAGCTCGGAGCCTCAGCCGCCGGGCTCAGACCGGTTCCCATGACAACCCGGCCAGCCGCCGTCCTGGGGCCGCGGCGCGCGTCACTTCCGGTCCGTTTGCTTCCGGGTCCGAGCCCCCGCCGCGGCCGCGGCCCTCGGGGCCCCAGAGCGGAGTTCGGCGGCTCCTGGGCTCGCTTGTCGGGCCCCGCCACCTCCGCCGCCGCCCGGGAACCTCGGCCTCGCCCGGGCCCAGCGCGCAGCCGCGGCCCGGCCCCCCTCTGGACCCGCCTCCGCGGGACGTCACGCCGTGGCTGAGTGCTTCCGGGTCGCGGCGGGCCCGGGGTCCTGGTCGCGGTGCCCTGTAGCCGGCCGGAGCGGCAGAGCCCGGGCGGGCCCGGCTCCGGCGGCGCCGCGGCTCCTCCTGCTTCGCTCGACCGGGGTCCTCGGCGGCGGGGTCGGGGTGAGTGCGAGGCGGCCGCGGGCGGAAACGGCCTCCGGGGCTTCCCGGGCGGAGGAGCGCCCGACTCGGCGGGGCTCGGCCGGCCCGGGCTCGGGGGCCCCTCGCGGCGGCGGGGGCGACGGGCGGGGCCGCCTCTTGGGCGCCCGGCGGCCCAGCTTGGCTCGGGACCCCCACGGCCCCGGGGGCGGCCTCGCAGGCTTCGGGAACGGCCGCGGGCGGCCCGGGGCGGCTCAGGAGGAACACCCCCTTTCGGCGACTCGCTCAGCAGGACATCCCGCTCCCAGGCGGTTGCCGCGCCGTGGCCCCCGGTCTCCGGCAGCAGGCCCGGGTTTGTACTGGCGGTGTGACCTTGGACAAGTCACTTGGTCTTCTGAGCCTCAGTTGCCTGATGAGTTACATGGAGTGAACCTGCCTGCGAGCGCCTCGGTGGGGGTGGGGGGGTATGCGTGCGAAGCTCGGCCTCGGGCATACAGCAGGCGTCCAGTAAATGATCGCTGCGGGGAATTCATTCACAAACCCGTGGGGAGGGCCCGAGTTTGGGACGAAGCTGTTTTTCGCAACTGCGGTGGCGCTCCCAGGCAGGAGGAGTGACCAGGCGGGGAAAAGCAGCCGCCAGCTTCTGTCGCCTGCAGGGCGGGGAGGCTGCTTCCTTCAGAGCTCCTCGGAGAGGCAGCTGCCACCGGGCAAGCCTGCTTTCGGCACGCTGAGGTTATTTTCAGGGATTTGGAACGCCTCTGTAAATTTCTCTGGGATCTGGTTGGGATGTGGGGACCCTCCGGTGTTTCCCAGCCAGTGGAAGGTGCTTTGGATGTGTCTCAGGGGGCCTCGGGCTCGAAATGAGAGCAGGAGTGGGCTGCGGAGGTGGCGGGTGGAGCTGTTCTCCCCTTGCTGCCCTGTGGAGGCCAGGGAACTTGGAGCTGGAGGAAGCTGAACCAGGGATCTGTCCGCTGTGGACTGGGGCAGTGCCCGGACCAAAATAGCTTCTGCCTGTGCAGGGAGGGGGGCCTTTGGATGCTGCTGGGGGAACGTTTCTGCTTGAATGGGCCAGCTGAGGAAAAGCCAAGCCAGTGCTTTGCTACCCAGAATCATTTCAGTGCCGTTCAGTGGGGTTTTAAACAGATACGGCTGTCTTTTGAGATGTTTCAAAAATAACAGAGAACCACCATCTCCCTGACAGCCGTCTCTCTCCCTTCATTGATTTGCTGTTCGGAGGGGGCCCAGATTGTGGGTGCAGGAAGTGCTGACCAGGCCTGTTGGCTCTGGGCACCCGCCTGACTCTGTTAGAGATGCTCACAGTGCCATTTTTTTTTTTTCTGCCAGACTGGCACGTCTTGGTGTTCCAATCCTCGGGTTGCATGGAGAAATTATCGGCTCCTGTCACTGCGCTGTCTTGGTCTCCTGTAACCACGCTGTTTTTGCAGAGAGTGTGTTTTTTGTTGTTCTTGCAGAATACCGGGAATAAATTACCGGCTCTGTGCTCAGAAAAGATACCAGCTACGGCCAGCTACAGTGCAGCCCGTATTCTCAGAAAATGTATTCGGGAGGGATGATGTCAGCTGCTTCATCGCTGGCCGGTCTCTGGCCAGCCTCTTCCCTTGGCCTTTGAGCTTACATCATAAAGAGATGGTGGTTCTTCCAGCCTGGTTCTGTGTGGGAAGATGTGAATTTTGCTACTATCGGAATTTTTAGAACTCAGCTCTGCTCGCCCTGCCCTAGGGCCCTTTCAAGTAGAGCTGTCCAGCAGACGATGCCACAGGATGGCTTTGCTTAAAAGCAGCGTGGCTCAGAGCTTGAGGCAGGGTTTTGGCAGCAGACCTAGGTTCGGATGTCAGATCCACTTCTTCCTAGCTTTGTAATTTGGGACAAGGGACTTCGCCTCTCTGAGCCTCAGTTTCCTCTTCTGTAACCTTGGGGCTGTCGTGGGTTTTATTGATTTTCGTCAAGCACTTAGCAGAGGGCCTTCAGGTACTAATCTCTTGGTGCACGGTGCTAATTGTAACAATAAGTAAGTGAGATAAATGGGAAGAAGCTGGGGCCTCAGGACCTGCCAACCCAGGTTCAGATTCCACTGGGCCTCTCTGAAGCTCTGATGGGCAGCTTGTTTAACGGCCGGGCCTTGGTTTCCTCATTGTTGTGAGGGTTAAACAGGATGATGCAGTTAAAGCAGAAAGCCCAATGCTCAGCACATAGTAGGACCTCAGTAATTGTTCGTTTCCTTCTCTTTAATTATCTTTTAGCATTCATTTTCTTCCACCTTTTTCCTCGCCTACCTAGCTTGGTTCAAGATTCTTCTTGGATGCGTTTCCCATCCTTGATTTGAAGATTTTGAACACCAGCTGGGCTATTTGGGTCCCTTTGCCTTGTTTATTGTTTGCCAGCAACAAACAAAGGTGTGGACTGTGGCGTGATTACAGAGCAGCAGACGCAGAGCTCGAGGGTGGCTGACATTGTAAAAAAAAATTAGCCTCTGTGGGCTCAAAGCTGACTTCCTTGGGGAAAAGTCACAGCAGTGTTTAGGAGGCTTGCTGTCCCCCTATTTAAATTGTCCTCAGCCGTGCCAAAAAACAGTCCCTGGGGCCAGAGGCACGATGAAAGCTTCTCTTAGATAAATAAAAAATGGTCAGTGCATATGGGTTTCTGTTACCAGGGACAGTGATGGTTCTCTCAGGTTGCAATACAGTTCTGTTTTTTGAGAGAACATACGTACTTTGATACTAGACGATAAGCTCTTTCAACTGGAATTGAGGGCAAGGCTATGTCTTAACTGCTTCCCCTGCTGCCCCTTCCCCACCCCAAATCCCCCCACTGCAGCCTAGCACAGGGCCTTGGGCAAGGTTGGCGCTTCATAAATGCCTGTTGAACTCAGGAATCCTAGGGGGTGGGAGGGACTCAGGAGGAAGCCAGAGGCCAGGCCTGCCAGGCCTGCATCTCTAGTCCGCCTTTTCCTAGCCCCGAGCTACTTACGTCATGTCAGTCCTGGAGCCTCTGTTCCTTCTCTCTCCAGCTGATCTCCCAGGATTCTTGGGACAACTAAGTGAGAAACTAAAGGAGTGGCATCGTGAATGCTTACAGCCTTTGCATCATTCATTTCATCTGTGTGCCAGGCTCTGTGTTAGGCATCGTGGTGAACAAAACAGATGTGGTCCTTGCTGCTGTGGAGCTCTGGGGGTGACAGGAGGATACCAAGAGAGGAAGCGGGTAAAGAAGTAAATAAAGTCGATAATTTCCAGTGGTGATTATCCCAGGATAAGGGGGTCACAAGGGACTGGGGAGGTGGGAGGGCCTCTGAGGGGTGACATTTGAGCTTGAGGCCTGAATGACGAGAGTGAGCAGCTCTGGGAAGAACCAGAGGAAGAGCATGCAAAAGACAGCAATGGACAAAGGTCCTGAGATAGAAAGGAGCTTGACGTGTTTGAGGAACAGACAGAAAGGTCCGTGTGGGGGAAGGGAAGGGAGGGGGCAGACTACTGTGGGGGGTGAGCGGCCGCTGACCACGCGGAGCCTTTGACCTTGGTCCAGAGGTAGAAGTTGATCCTAAGTGGGCTGGCATCTGCCTCGTGTGCCCCCAGGCGCACTTGTTCTGTGGTTCCTGAAGCACTGGGCTGCCTGCAGGGCCATAGGTGGGAGACGGTGGCCTCTCCGTGTCCCTAGGTCTCCTGCACATCTCACCCCTCACCTCACAGTTAAGACCCCCGAGAGGCTCCCCAAAACTCTGGAGAAGCCAGACGGGTGCTTGTGGAGACAGGGATGGTTTCATTGACCTGATGATGGTTGCCAGGCTTTGGGCTCTTAGGACTCCCTGAGCTGAACTCAGATCTGCGAGAGGACTCCATGTGTCCCTCCCATCCCACTGCCGCTTCTTCCGGGTCCCTTGCCATCCCCCACAGCCGGCAGAGCCTCCCCGGCTCAGACAGCAGGCGTGTGAATCGCCGTGCTTAGGTTAGTTGCTGTGTTCAGGCCCGAGGCCTGCGCCCATGGAGCCTGGTCAGCACTGGCAGGACAGGCGAGTGCGAACACGCACATCCACCACCTGTTGGAGACATTTGTCCTGCTCGGATCTGACCCCCTCGAGGATGCTTGGCATCATGGCGGGTGGCACACCTTCAGGCCCCGGGAATGGCTGCTTGTAAGTGTCAAGGGCTTACTTTGAGCCGGCATCTGTGCAGAGCTTTCTATACTGATGGCACATAATCCTCCCACCAGCTCTGGACTCTAGGTCCCATTGTTCACCTCCTTTTTCAGAGGAGAAAACTGAGGCCCAGAGAGGTTGAGGAATTTGCCCAAGTGACCTAGAGCAGCAGACCCAGGATTGACACCGGGCCGTCTGGCTTCGGAATCTGTGTGCAACCCCTGCTGTGTGGCCTCCCCCGGGCCTGGCAGTATCCCTCGATGAATCCAGGTTTGCTGCCAGCATTGTGGGCGCCACGAATATTGCTGCAGCTGTACACATACTCCTAACAAGTGGCCAGGCAGACAGCAAGAGTGTATAAATCCAGTGTGTCCCAGCTCAGAACGTCCTCTTCTCTCCCAGTGGGGCCATAAACTGCTCTTAAGGTAAAGGGGAATGCAGGCCTGTGAAGGCGGATGAAAGCCCTCTCCAGGGGCCAGCAGCCAGCATGGTCTCTCTTTAAAACTGTCGATGTGATGTGTCCCTCTTTCCCGTGCTTTGAACTCCTCAGGCGCTTCCTATGGTTCTTTGAATAAAATGTAAAATTCTTAATGTGCTCTTTGAGGCCTTGGAGAACAGGCTCCTGCTTAAGCCTGCGGCTCCATCTCTTGTCACTCCCCTCCTCTCTGCTGCCGCAGCCACACTTGGCTTCTCTCTGTTCACATGCCAGTCTCCTTCCTGCCTCAGGAAAGCAGGGTGTGGTGGTGAAGGGCACGGACTTTGGAGCCCGACTGCCACAGCTCTGATCTCAGCTCTGCCTCTTAACAGTTCTGTAACTTTGGGCAAGTTTCTTACCGTCTGTATGTCTCAGTTTTTACATCTGTAAAATGGGGACAACAATGGTACCTATCTCCCGGGGTTGTTTAAGAAGACGGCCGGCGAGCATGTGTCAGTGCCTGGCACAGGGTGAGCACTGGCAGTGTTAGCCCGGGGCCTTCGTCCGTGCCGCTGCTTCTGGGGTACACCCTCGCCCCCCTCTTTGCCTGGGAAGCTCCTCATCCTTCAGGTCTAACCGTTACTGCCTCAGGGGCTTTTTAAAACTCCTCCTTCTCACCAAAAAACCAGGGTAGGTGCCCCTAATCAGATTTTTCATTGGTGAGCTCCACAAGGTCAAGGGCCTTGTCTGTCTTGTTTCCACTGCAACCTCACGTAGTATGTGTTCAGCAAATGTGCCGAATGAATGAGCAGAAAGGGGCCCTGGGCTGGTGGTGCCCATGTAGCTCAGGCCAGTGCTGCTGCTTATCCTGCCTCAGCAGCCACAAGCTGGTGTGTGGACTATTGCGAGGAATGACACACTCCTGGTTCTTCCCCTTCCAGAGCACTCCGCTGGTCCAGGCGAGCAACATGTCAGTGCTTTTAGTCATGTCCCTGACTCCAACCCAGATGCCATGGAGGAGATAAGGTAGCCCCCGTCCCTGAATCCGATGGAGAAGCCCAGTTCAATGGATACGAAATACAAGGATGACTTATTTCGGAAGTACGTGCAGTTCCATGAGGGCCAAGTGGACACCACCCCCAGCAAGCAGCGGCCCGGCAGTGAGGAGTACCTGCGGGCGGCAGCCTCGACCCTGCTCAGCGCGCACAAGCTGGATCCCTTCTATCGATTCCGGCTGATCCAGTTCTATGAGGTGGTGGAGAGCTCCCTGCGCTCGCTGAGCTCCTCCAGCCTGCGGGCTTTGCAGTCTGCCTTCAGCGTGCTCGAGACGGTGGGCGTCAACCTCTTCCTCTACCCGTGGAAGAAGGAGTTCAGAAGCATCAAGGTAAGGTCTAGGGACGGGCCCTCCGCTCTGGTCTCCCTTCTCCCTTCTCCCCGCTTCCAGTCCGTCTTGAGAGGGCTTGTGCCCATCTGATCACATCCCTCCTCTGCCCCCAGACCCTCCCACTCTCTCCACTGCCTTTGAGAGAACAACCAGAATTACCCCCCAGGTCCCCACTGTGCCTGTCGTCCAGTGTCACTCGTAACTGGCTCCCTGCCCCGCAGCGCATGTCTGAAGCTGTGAGGTTGGAAAGGTAGGCAGCACCCCGCTTGTGCAGGACCTTGAAGCCGGGGCGGAGGGCTTGGCTTTATTCCAAGTGGGCAGGGAGGCCAGGCAGTGCTGGGATCAGGGTTACATTTGAAAAGAATCCTTCTGGCTGTCTTACGGGAAATAGATTGTAGAGGGGCAGGAGTAGGGCGGGGAGACATTAGGAGGCTGCCGCCATGTCCGGGTACCCAGAGAGACGCTTTGGACAAAGCGGTAACAGAAGGAGGGAGGAGGGTGAATTTGAGAGAGAGAATCCTCAGTCACTCCAAAGACAGTGATGGCTCAGGAGAGTGTCACCTGATCGGGCCCTTCAGCCTGGTATACTCTTCGCACCTACGTAGAAACACCAGAAAGGAGCATTCTCGTTGCTCCTTGGATGTTCTGCCCCCGATCCGATGCCCTTGCTTCCCCCGCGTTTGCCCCATCCCCTTGTTGTATGGAGCGGGGCCGCTGCCCCATGGAGAAGTCAGTGGCCTTGTTCCTGCACTTGAGGAAGGAGTGGTGTGTGAGCTCCCTCGCGCCGGTGAGCCGAGCTGCTGGCGGCCTTGGCCTCTGCCCGCCGCAGTGGGGCACCGAAGCGGACTCCTGCCCCTCCCCCGCGCTCCTGTTCAGATTGGCCGTCCTGGCTTTGACGCAGTCTCCGTCTGTGTCCAGAGGGAAAATGCTGCCTCTCTTTCTCTGCCCTCTTCCTTCTCCTAGACCTACACGGGCCCCTTCGTTTACTATGTCAAGTCGACCTTACTGGAAGAGGACATCCGAGCAATCCTGAACTACATGGGCTACGTGCCTGAGCTGGGGACCGCGTACAAGCTCCGAGAGCTGGGGGAGACCCTCCAGGTGAAGATGGTCTCCTTCGAACTCTTTCTGGCCAAGGTGGAGTGTGAGCAGATGCTGGAAATCCACTCACAAGTCAAGGATAAGGGCTACTCTGAGCTGGACGTGGTGAGCGAGCGCAAGAGCAGCGCAGAGGACGTGCGTGGCTGCTCCGATGCCCTGCGGCGGCGCGCCGAGGGCCGGGAGCACCTAACAGCCTCCATGGCCCGTGTGGCGCTCCAGAAGTCAGCCAGTGAGCGGGCGGCCAAGGACTACTACAAGCCCCGCGTGACCAAGCCCTCGAGGTCGGTAGATACCTACGACAGCTACTGGGAGAGCCGGAAGCCGCCCCTCAAGGCCTCGCTGAGCCTGCGCAAGGAGCCTGTGGCAGCAGACTTGGGGGACGACCTCAAAGATGAGATCATCCGTCCGTCCCCCTCGCTCCTGACCATGTCCACTTCCCCCCACGGCAGCCCGGATGACCTTCCTTCCCCCTCCTCCAACAATGGCCTTGGCCTGCTGCGTGGCACATACTTCTCCGCTCAGGATGACGTAGATCTGTACACAGACTCAGAACCTCGGAGCACGTACCGGAGGCAGGACGCCCTGCGGCCGGACGTGTGGCTGCTCAGAAACGATGCCCATCCCCTCTACCACAAGCGCTCGCCCCCTGCCAAAGAGTCTGCCCTCTCCAAGTGCCAAAACTGCGGTCTGTCCTGCAGCTCCTCCCTCTGCCAGCGCTGTGACAGCCTGCTCGCCTGTCCCCCGGCCTCCAAACCTGGCCCCTTTCCCAGCAAGGCCTCCGCCCACGACAGCCTGGCCCACGGGCCGTCCCTGCGGGAGAGGTATGCAGGCCAGACTCAGGGCCTCGAGCGGCTGCCACACCTCCACTCCAAACCCAAGCCCTCCCCCACAGCCACCTCCCGCTGTGGCTTCTGTAACCGCCCCGGTGCCACCAACACCTGCACCCAGTGTTCAAAAGTCTCCTGCGACGCCTGCCTCAGCGCCTACCATTATGACCCCTGCTGCAAAAAGAGCGAGCTGCACAAGTTCGTGCCCAACAACCAGCTGAACTACAAGTCCGCCCAGCTCCCCCACCTCGTGTACAGATAGGCTCGGCGCGCCCCTCCCTGCTCCAAGGGCTACGCCGCTCACCCGTCTGGCTTCCGGGGAAGACGTGTTCGTGCGTTATCTCGAAGCAGAGACCTGCACTTGACCACGTGGGGGCCAGGGGCTCGTGGGGCCGGCCGCACCGTGTGGAGTTCACTTAGCGACTCGTGTGTTTCAGCTGGTGGCTGCTTTGTCTCCTGACAAGGGAGAGGGTGGCACTTCCGTTCAGATTAATTTTTGCTGATCTCTCCACTCCCTAGTCTGTTGTTTGGGTTTTCTTTTAAAGAGAATTTCTATCTCTGGGACTCTTGCCATGCCTGCCACTCCCAGCACAAAGCCAACGGGGACTAGGAAGGGCCCTCCAGGTCACCTCCAAATGCCCCCCTGGAGTGGCGAGCTAGAGGCCTGTTGGCTTGTGAAATGAGCCCTCCGGCCACACTGGGCCTCTTCAGTGGCTCATCCCTTCGCCTCCCCCTTCCCCGACACAAGGACCCCCACCTGACCTCCCCGCCCCTCGCTCCCCCACCCAGGTCTCACAGGTGAACTGAGCCCAGTGTTAGCTGAATGTCCTCCTGTTGCCACCACAGTGCAGTCCAGCCCGTGGTGTTTGGCACTTTGCTCCAGCGTGTTGACGTGTGGCCCTTCTGCAGCAGGACTGTCGTCTCCCCTTTCTGTCATTTGCACATTCCCCTCTTCCTGTACTGTAAATAGATATTTTTGAGATTTATTTTTAAATAAATATTCAACTTGCCGTGTGTTTCAAAGTGGTTAAAACATTAATTATGTAGCTGTTTATAAAAATGCCCCGGGTTCTTTAGTCTTCCAAGGGAGGGCCTCAAGCCCATCCCTGTGGTATCCTCCACTGGCCACAGCCCGAGGGTAGAGCAGAGAGTGTGGGGGCAGAGGAGCAGAGCCGATGTCCCTGAGGTGGTGGAGAGCCACTGTCTTCCCTACAATAAGTTTCTATACACCTACCTCCAGTGGGTTCTAGGGGGTTAGCGCGGGCCGACAGGTCTGGTAGCCTAGTGACGATTCAGGAACCTCCGTGCAGATCTGCAGCCCGGCCTTTGCCACTTGCTGAGTGTGAACCTGGCACTCCACACTTCTTCTGGAGTCCCGTTTCAGAAGGAGAATCATTTGGGATTCCTGCCACCCCTCTATCTCAGTCCTCTTCTCTTCACCTGTTTCCAGGACTCTGCAATGTTTGCGATCTTTTTGCACTAAGAGTGGGCGGGAGTCGGCGTGCGCCCCTGAGACGTGTCCCCTGGGATTCTCAGCCGAGCCTAAGCTTCCAAAGCCGAAGGCCCCTTAATCTCCTCTTGTGAATTACTGACCCCTGGATTTTCCTTTTGGGGTGCAGAGCAGGAGTGGGGCAAGAGTTTGAAAATAAAGCCGCTTCCTTGTGAACTAATAATCGATTTTAGCCATAAGTGTTTGTGCTGTATGGAATGTCACAGGAATTTACATGCAGTGGGTTTTCTGGTAGAAGGAGGTATTCAGCTCTTGAGCAAATTTAAATCTGGCTGAGTCCTGAGGCCACTGTGAATTTGCTGATGTCCTTCCAACTCAGTTGAGTGATTTTAAGGTTTTCAGTCTTCTCTGGCTCTTTTTTATATATCTAGTGGATCACATGTAGATATTCAACATGTATATACAGCCGGATTTCAGCCAACCTCCCTGCTAAGACCAGCCCGTTCTGGGGCATCTGTCTTCGCTGTTCTTCCTTTTCACGTTTCAGAAGTGTCAGTGCCACCCACTCCCGAGAGCTCTAGCTTTCCGTTTCCAGATCGCTCCAGCACTACAGTCACTCTTTAACCACCTGTGATGCCACGTAACTGACACGGCAGACAAAAGCAGGAGCCACTCGCTTGTCCTGGGAGAGACAGTCCAGGGTGCGTTTCACCATGGAGATACTGTGTTCGTGGACTGGAATAGGAAACGCTGTGACCCTGCTCCTTCCTGGTGTGTATCTTCTCGTGTGAGGTTGCTGTGATTAAGATAGTTAAATATGTGCTAATTTAAAAATGCAGATGTTTTACATTTGATTTCTACCAAGAGTTGAAATGTTGAGAGATGATTTTAAAAAAGTAATAAAGTGTCTTCCATTGTTAAATGAAGTGTTTGGGGTTTTATGTCCCCTCTCCTTGCTGCTTTGAAGTTTGCTCGGGTTTGGGGGTTTTTTTGCTCAAGCCTTATTTAGTTCTTTAATGACAGGGCTCACATTTTCTCCTCCATGGAACAGGAATAATAACAGCCAGCTTCTGAGTGCCTGTACTATGAGCCTGGCGGCTCGTCCGCTCAGACTTCACGTGCGTGATCTCGTCTGGTGTCGGTCCTCCAGGGAGACAGGTGCTGTTATGATCCCCGTCTTACAGATGGGGAGACTGAGGTGTGCAGAGTTCACCTGTGTTTCCCACGTTTCCAGGAGAAATGATTGTTGGTGGTGATTGACAGGCATTAAATAACATTGAAGGACATTATGAGAAAAAGGTCCATTTTTCATTCTTTAGATTCACTTAAACGCCTCAAAGAGGCAGTCAGTTTAATGCTACCTTGCCTGTAACAATGAGAAAGCAGACGTCGGGCTCACCTCTGGCAGAATCTTAGCCAGGTTTTCAGTTACCTTCTATTTAGGGCAGCCACACTGCTTTTCCATCTACAGCAATGACAGATTACTTTAAAAGTCAATTTAAGGTGTTTTTAATAGAGTTGACGTAAAAGCAAAGGACATGGCCAAAATCTTAAGGGTGGGTAAGAGCGGCTGTGGTTTGGGACATCCTGGCCCTAGCACCACGGTGCTGACCGCTGCTGGGCAGGGCCCACGAGGTGGTTCAGCTGTTGGGGAAGAGACGGAACAGGCTTCTCCTTTTCCCGCACTGGCTGGACAAATATCCAGGCTTTGGGCCAGACCCAGGCCCAGGTGCTGGGTTTGCTTTTAGCTACAGCATAGGAAATGGCCCCACCATCCTGGCTGCCAGGAACAGCAGCTTCCTGGAGATGACACCCAGCCTGGGAGAGCAGAGGCAGCCACTAGGCCCTGCATCCGAAGCGGAGCAGATTCTGAGCAGATGCTTAATTTGTATATGTAGATAACAAGCATTTAAGCCCCTCAGGCCCACCAGCTGTACAGCATTAGCTCTGCTGCCAGCTCCGAGCACCGATCTGTGGTACCCCACGAGCCTGATTGCCAATCTCAGATGAGAATATGGCAAACACTGTGAATGGAACCCCGATCTCTGCTCGCCCTTCCTCCCTGGGTAAGAGAAGCCCTGATTTGTAGACATATGGCTGTCAAGACTGCCTCTCCTGCAGCCAGGCACAGTCATGTGACTGCGTCTGGGCCCTGGGATGGAAGAATGCCGTGTGTGGCTTCTGAGACATGTCCTTCAAAGAAAGGAGTTTGTCCCTCTTCCCACCCGGACCCTCCTTCCCGCTGGACTGGCTGTGCTGGCTGGAGTGGAGCAGCCTTGGGAGACCGAGTTGGAAGCCAAGTGAAGGGGAGGGTGGGGCGGCAGCTGGGAGGGGCATGGTCCCTGATGCTTCGGAAGCCGCGATCACGCCTGGCCTGCCCGCTTACCTGCAGAGTTTTTATATGAGAGGGAGAAAGGATTATCTTGCGTAAACCACAGGCTCTCTCTTTGCTCATTTAAAAAGCCCTTTTATTTACAAAAGAAGTGAGGCTGGTATAATGAACGCTCATGTATATTGAACCCAGCTTCCATGGTTCAACAGTTAGCAACTTGTGGCCACCTGCTTTCCTCTACCTGGCCAACCCCCCGCCCCCCAGTTCCTTTGAAGCAAACTGCAGACACCTGTTTCATCTGTGAACATTTCAGTATGTGTATCTAAAAGACAAGGACTTTTGAAACACAATAGCATGAGCACATCTAAATTTTGATAACAATTCTTTAATAGTGACAAATACCCAGTCATTGTCCCCATGTCCAGTTGTCTTATGAACCTGTATGTTTAGAACAGTTTGGTTGCATCAGGGCGCAAATAAGGCCCGCACGCCGCAGTTCGTGGACAGGCCTGTAAATGGCCTTTACAGACTGCCGGGCAGAGCGTAGGGCCCTGTCTCTCTTTCCTTGAAATGTGTTTGTTGAGGAAGCTGGGCTATTCGTCCCTCAGCATTTGCCAGTCTCAGTTTCGCTGATTGCAGCCCTGCTGTTATTAACATGCTCCTCTGTTCTCCGATCTCCCGAAAACTGGTATTTGGCTCTTCTTTCTTTACAGTTCCTACTGTTTATTTGCACAGATTATACAAAAGTAGAAAAATAAACAATTCTTAGGGGTCTGAGTCAGAGTCGAAGCTCCATAAATAAGGGGGGAGGGGAAATAACTTAAGGCGGGGATGGGTTAGTTCATAAATAAGGTCTGGGTTCCAGACGGGCGGCGGTGGGTCCAGGTCCTCAGACGCACAGGTCTCCGCTGGCAACACATTTCAGGTCCCGTGTGAGGAGGCGGAAGAGGTTGAATGTGACGGAGGCCTCAAGGCAGCCTTGGGACTCCTTCTTCGTGGCCTCCTGGAGCCGGTGCAGCCAGTGGTGGAGGCGGCTCCGGGGTCTGGGGCCTGCTGTGGGCTGAGCCGGGACACAGGCCCGGAGCCTGGAGTGGATGTGGCGCAGCGTGTGAAGGGGCTGGTCCAGGACGACGCCCAGGGACGCATCAGCCGCAGTCCTCAGGACCTTCAGCGTCAGGTGTAGCTCAGCCTCCAGGGCCACCGGGCGCTCCCGCACCTGCAGCAGCCTCAGGTCTCTGGTCATGGGGAAGAGGCGAGAGCTGCAGCTCCAGTCGTTCTGCAGGAGCGACTCTTCCAAGGCATCCTTGGCTTTCTTAAAGGCTTCCAGCTCCCGTGGCGACAGAGATTGGAACCTGCCCATGTGGCAGCCCCTCCACGTTGTGGTGGGCTTGGAAGTGGGGACAGGGCCAGCTGTGGCCAAGCCCAGCACCACGGTCATGAGCACCAGAACCCAAGCTGTAGTCATGGTCGGATCTCAACTGCTCCTCTGGCCTCATGGCTCTGCTTTTAGCCAGGCTCCCTGGGCAGTCCCAGGTGATGTGTGTAAAGTGAAAAGGCAAATGGAAGTTGCAATCTTCACTTTGACTGAAAAGGCATGAGGGGGTGGGGCCAGCCACTGAGCAAGGTGAGTCCAGACCTGTGCCAAGAAGGAAAGAGAAACTGAAATTCCATCGTGGGGAGAGCCTTGTTTCCGAGAAGGCCCTGTGCCTGGAGAATCTCCAGTCCAGGGCTCCCTGGGGCGGCCTCCAGGTAGCTGACGACTTTGGGGAGCCCCTGGTTGAGGCTAAGGCAGGTGGAGGGATGGGAAACTGGCTTGAGGACTTTCCCAGAGGGGCAGCGACCTGGGGGGCGAGGGTGAGGCTGCCCCAGCAGCGAAGGGGCATCCTTTCGATGTGCGGAAGTTTTAGAGTTTGCTGTGGTCCCGTTTGACTGCTCTTGCTCTTGGTGTCATATCCAAGAAATTATTCCCAGATCCAGTCCCATGAAACTTTTCCGTATGTTTTCTTCTAGGACTTTTATAGTTTTAGGTCTTAGATTTAGACATTTAATCCATGTTAAGTTTTGTGTATGGTGTAAGGTAAGGGCTAACGTCATTCTCTTGCATGTGCATGTCCAGCTCTCCCAATACCATTTGTTGAGACTGTCCTTTCCCCATTGGGTGGCCCTGGCCCCCGTTGTTGAAGGATCATTTGATGGCATAAGTGAGGATTTATTTCTGGGCGCTCTCTTCTGTTCTGTTGGTCTGTATTGTCTATCTTTATGCCACTACCACATTATTTTGAATACTGTAGCTTTGAATGTAATGTGTTCTAAAATCAGGAAGTGGGAGCCCTCTAACATTGTTCTTTTTCAAGATTGTTTTGGCTATTCAGGGTCACTTGAGATGCCATATAAATTTTGGTATTTTTTTTTTCTATTTCTGCAAAAATGCCACTGGGATTTTGACAGGGATTGCATTGAATCAGTAGATTGCTTTGGGTAGTATGGACATTTAAACAATATTAAGTCTTTGAACCTGTGAGCACATGATGTCTTTCCGTTTGTGTCTTCTTTACTTTCTTTCAGCAATGTTTTATAGTTTTTAGTGTACAAATCTTTTGCCTCCTTAGTTAAGTTTATTCTTAAATATTTTATTATTTTTGATGCTATTGTAAATGGAATTGTTTTGTAATTTCTTTTCCAGATTGTTCATTGTTTGTGTATAGAAAGCAACTGATTTTTGTGTGTTGATTTTGTATCCTGCAACTTGGCTGAATTCATTTATTAGTTCTAACAGGTTTTTTTTTTTGAATCTTTAGGGTTTTATACATATACGATTGTCATTCGAGAACAGATATAATTTTACTTCTTTCTTTCCAATTTGGATGCATTTTTCTTTTTCTCTTTTTTTGGTGAGGAAGATTGGCTCTGAGCTAACATCTGTGGCAGTCTTCCTCTGTTTTTTTGGTATGTGGGATGCCTCCACAGCGTGGCTTGATGAGCGGTGAGTAGGTTGGTGCCTGGGATCCAAACCCATGAACCATGGGCCACTGAAGTGGAATGTGGGAACTTAATCACTATGTCACTGGGCCGGCCCCTGGATGCACTTTATTTCTTTTTCTTGCCTAATTGCTCTGGCTAGGACTTCCAGTTCTATGTTGAACAGAAGTGGTGAGAGTGGGCATCCTTGCCTTGTTCCTGATCTTAGAGGAAAAGCTTCCAGTCTTTCACCGTTGAGTATGATGTTAGCTGTGGCACATGTGTTTTCACATGTGGCCTTTCTTATGTTGAGGTAGTCTCTCCTTCTATTCCTAGTTTGTTGTGTGTTTTGATCATGAAAGTGTGTTGAATTTTGTCAAGTGCTTTTCTGCACTGAGACGATCGTGTGGTGTTTGTCCTTCGTTCTGTTAATGTGCTGCATCACGTGGTAGTCAACTTCTGAGGCCGGCTCAGACTTGGGTTTGATTTTTTGAGTGAGAATGCTTCATCGATGTTGTCTTCTTTCGTCAGGAGGCACGTGATATCGAGTTCTCTCTCTTAGGGATGTTAAGAGCCCTTAAGGCTGTTACTTAGTCCTGAGATCCATTATTTCATTGGTGCTTGCAAAATGGAGTTATTCTAATTCTGGTCCAGTCAGCCCCTCTGTATCTGCAGGTTCTGCGTCCACGCATTCAGCCAACCACAGATCGAAAGGCCCACGATGGCTGCATCTGTACTGAACGTGTACAGACTGTTTTCCTGTCATTATTCCCTAAGCAGTGCAGGATAACGACTATTTACACAGCATTTACATTGTGCTAGGTATTATAAGTAAACTAGAGATGATTTAAAGTACACGGGAAGATGCACGAAGGTTACACGCAAGCACTGCACCATTTTACATGAGGCCCTGGAGCATCCACGGCTTTTGGCATCCGTGCAGCATCTTGGAACCAATCCCCCGTAGAGACCAAGGGACAACTATATTTGTTCTTTGTTTGGCAGCTGGAATACTTCTATAAAAAGAAACCTCCCTGTGGCAGTGTGAATCTATATCAGTGATAAAATTGCATAAAACTAAACACACACAGGAGTGCATGTAAAACTGGAGTAATCTGGACAAGGTCTATGGATTGTGTCAATGTCCATTTCCTGGTTGTAATATTGTTCTGTAGTTATGCAAGATGTTACCACTGGGGGCAACTGGGTGCAGGGTACGTGGGACCTTTCTGTACTATTTTTTGGCAACTTCCTGTAAATCTATGATTTATTTTTTATTTTTTTGGTGAGGAAGATTGGCCCTGAGCTAACATCAGTTGCCAGTTTTCCTCTTTTTACTTGAGGAAGATTGTCACTGAGCTAATGTCTGTGCCAATCTTCCTTCTTTTGCTTGAGGAAGATTGTCCCTGAGCTAACGTCTGTGCCAATTGTCCTCTTTTTTTTTGCTTGAGGAAGATTGTTGCTGAGCTTACATCTGTGCCAATCTTCCTCTGTTTTGTATGTGGGACGCTGCCACAGCATGGCTTGGTCACAGGGATATGTAGGTCCGTGCCTAGGATCTGAACCTATGAACCCTGGACCACCGAAGCAGAGCACGTGAACTTAAACACTATGCAACCCAGCCAGCCCCTATGATTATTTTTTTTAGAAAGTCAAAAAGAAACATTTCTGATCTACTCTTTGACTACCAGTGGTACTGTTTAAGAAAGGCAGGATAAGTGCTTCATTCTTTCCCTTTATTTTTATTCAGAATAATGAGTTGATGCCTTCGAATCTCCCCAATAGTGACTGATTTTTAAAAAGTATCATTATGAACTCACTGATTTCAGTAAATTTTAAGTATTTCAATCCATTGCATATTAATGTTACTGACACTCACTTTCCTGTCTTTGGCCAGTAGGAACCTCCTCAAGCTCCCTCCTGAGCCCTTCTCACGTGACCCTGAAATCTTTGATTGCTTCCAGCGCCCCAGGTTCATCTTGTGCATTTCCTGCCCAAGTCCTGGAATTAGGCATTTCCCCAAAGAACGCGGGGTCCTTTTACTGTGAGCTGACATTTGGAGCCACAGTCTGAGAGCCAGGGGTCTCACTCCACTGGGTTGGTTGTTGTTTCTAGGTCCTTTCAATGGGTAGAGCTAGGAACAGGATTATATTTTTTCAAAAACAAAATACATCCTAAGTTCATACTTTAAAGTTCATACTTTAAATTAAAATTCAGGACCGGCAGGGTTTTTACTGAACTTCATTTCTCTTTCTTTTCCCATGCCGAGAATCCTGGTTCTCCAGGACTCCAGGGGAGCCAGTACTCATTTTGATTTTGTCACCCGTGACTAGGCCTAATCCTGACTGGTCGGAAGGCGTCCTGGCCTGGGACGGCCCCGGGAGAGCGAGCGGCTCAGTTACCACAGAGCGGGCCCTGCAGGTTCGCACACACATTCGCTGTTCGGAGGGAAAGGCCAGGGACACAGGTGCAGGGGGGCGGGTACTGGGGTTCGAATGCAGTTCTTCCCCCCCCCCCCGGGAGCCCTGGGTCCCGTGCTGACACCCGGCCACATCCCTGAGCACCGTAGTCGCCAGCCCTCTTTTGCGTGGGTCACATGGACGTCTTCCCCTGTGTTCCTCTGCAACCTGCTTCCCCTCCTCGCAGCGTGTTGAGGTTTGTCCACGCTGACGGGTCACTCCAGTTTCATTCCTCATCCTCACCGCGTACGGCGCGTGTCCTCACCTCACGGGACCTGTTGTCCCTGTTCCTAGTGGGAAAGACTTAGCTCGTCCCCATCATTTGCTCTTACAGAGATTCTCGTGGGTGTGCCCTGGTGCACGAGTGTGTAAGAATTTCTGTAGGGCGGGGCGGGCAGCGTTTTCTGTAAATGGCCAGATAGGGAATATTTTAGGCTTTGAGAGCCAAGAGACAAAAAATACGTTGGTACCTATATAACAAGAGAGCAAACAAATTTCCATACATTTTTTATTAAAAAATTCCAAACTTTATGGACATTGAAATTTGAATTTCATAAATTTTCACATCATGAAATATTCTTCTGAATTTTTTTCAGCCGTTTGAAAATGTTACGAACCAGTCTTAGCTCTCTGGTGGCCCCACCACAGGAGCAGGCTGGGTGTGGTCCCCACTTCCCTAGGTGTGGCCGGACGCCCTTCCAGGTGACCTCTCAGCCGAGCATGACGAGGATGACGGCTGAGGAGACTTCCTGCTTCCCGAGTGGCCTGCACGGCGCCACCTTTCTCCCTGGAGCACCTGCTCCCTGGGTCTGGTGCCGTTGCTAATCGCACTTTGAAAAGTGCAGATAACATGCCGTGTGCCCCTTATTATGGAATAAATGTTCTTTATGACAGAAATAGAAACATGTACAAACAGTGAGATTTTTTTAAGTTACCCACAATCCTTCCACTTAGAGAGAACCCAAGTTAAAACTTGGCATCTGTCGTTCCCGATGTTTTCCGATAGAGACACACAGCGTTAATTTAATTTTTAGAGGCTAACACTGTGTCTATTGTTTTGGCATCTGCGGTCTCGCTTCGTGAAGCTGTATCAGGATTCTTTTTGTTCTAACATATTGGGGTGCGGGGCCCTCTCCCCAGCTTCCTGGCCTCTAGGGAAAGTACTTCCTCCCTGGCTTGCTCCCCTCCACCCTAAGCGTGCTTTCTGGGAGTGGAGGAAAAGGTTGACATGTGAAGGAGGAATGCCCAGGTGCTCCAGTGGCGGTGTGCCTCGGGACCCCTTCTCCTTTTCTTTCCAGCACTCTGTTTTGTCCAGGCTGATGCTCTGCCCAGCCCCACGCCATCTCCCAGCCTCCCCTGCAGGCAGCTGTGGTCTGAGAAGACTCTGCTTTATGTTTGCCAGAGTCCCCATCACTCCAGTGCCACCTGTCACCACACTTGCACAGTTTTGTTCTGGTAGAGAAATCATTCTCTGAGCCCAGGTCTATCAGGTGGGAAAGGGGCTGACAGCCCGGCCCCACCCGGCTCCCGGCAGGCACTTGGGTGCGCGCTCTGGCAGCCCAGGTGCAGGTGGGTCCTAAGTGTGACTGACTCTCCCTGGTTCCTTCTCTGGCTGGGGGCAGGATGAGGGCACAGTGCAGGGCCAGGAGGAACGAAGAGGCCTAGTTCTTGCCTCCCTGCCGGAAGGCCGGGGTCTGGGGTCAGGACACGTTCTCCTGCCTGGTGTCGACTTACTTGACATGTCTTTTTTTGTTTGCCCTGTTGAACATGCAGCTGTGGACGCCTTTTGGAAGTACGATGGGGCGTAAATAAACTGACGCTCAAGACGTCCCACAGACAGCCCCACCTCCTTCCATCAGACTCCTGCGGCTGTGCGGATTCAGAGCCTGGAGGGCAGACCCGCGGGCTCCTGGTGCACAGTCAGGCAAAGGCCCCGCAGGGGCGAGCTGCGATCTCGGGAGGCAGGAGACCAGCAGCCCGCCAGCCCGGGGAAGATGGGTCCCCAGGCCTGTGAGGAGGCAGCCGGGGGCCGTGTGCAGGCTGGGCCTGCGCTGAGCCTCTGCGCAGCCTCCCGTGCTGCTCCCGAGGGTAGGGGCGGGAAGGAGGCCCAGGCCTGCCTGAGCCAGAGCCCACACTCCCACCCACTGACCACTGCGCTTCGCTGGCCACGTGGGCTGCTGGTCCGGAGAGTCGGGGAGGCAGTGACACGGAGCTGAGTCTAGGAGTGTGACCCGTGTGTCCACAAAGCCACCGAACGAAAACACAGAAACCGTCTCTGGTTCAGCAGCATTCATTTTTATTTCCAGGCAAGTATCCAGTGACTAAATTACTGAGTTCCATCCATTTCTGGATTCTTTCAAGAGTCCGGTGAGACGAAGCAGGGGCTCCTGCACGGCAGCCACCGGTCCCGACCTCTGACGCTCTTCCCCTGCCCACTCAGGAGCCCGTCCAGAAGAGCAGCAAGTCGTGTCCCGGCACCAGATGGAGCGAGCGTCGCTCACAGCGGACTCGGGGGAGAACAGAACAAGCCCGACCTTCCCAATGGTCCTTGAATCAAAAAGCAGGACTTAAAAATCTTTCATTTTTACAAAGAAAACTACTCACAAAAATACAAGATTCAGAGTAAGCCCGAGAACAAATCAAGCTTTGCAGGAGCCATACTGGCGACAACACTGAAGCCGTGGGGAAGCCGGGACCCCGCAGCGAGGTGGTGAGGGTGCTCCCCGGCCTCGGCGGTGCCTTAGAGCAGGGGGCCGCGAGAAGGGGGCGCCAGGACGCTGACAGGCTCGTCAGGCTCCCCTCCCGGGAGCACAGGCCCACAAGGCTGACAAGGGACCTTTCTCTTGACCACCCCTCTGCACATCCCTGCGGCTGCGCTCACGCACTGCACTGTCACCCTGTGCCAGGTGGGCTCACGCTGAGCAGCCTGGGAGAAGACCGTCTCTCCGCGAGGAAAGGCCAAGGCTTTTTTCTTTCAGGGAGAACATGGGGCGGGCCAGGGGACATTAGAAAGTCTCCCTGCTTTTGTAACATGGCCAATGACAACAGAAGTCCCTGCATATCTAACCCACTTGTGTGAGAAGTGCAGGAGCCTAAGTGGAAGGGAGTGTGGCTGCCAGTTCTCTTGAGGCCTTGACTCTGTGGTGTTTTCACTGAAAACACACCGCCTGGGGCTTCGGAGACTGGGTTCCTGGTGAACCGCCTCCTACTGGTCCTATGTGGTTTCCTACCCACCAACCAGCGGGAGAAGCCCAGGCCTGCACTCCGGAGGGCACGGGGAAGGATCAGGGGACCCTGCTCTTTTTCACATTTAAAGTCCTCGTCAATGGCGGATCACGGCTGCTGAGAGTCAGGGACCAGCTCTAAGAGCAGATCCACCCCAGGCCAGGCCTGCATCTTTGATGGCAATGACGGCTGAGACGCCGGCCACCACCCAGCCCTACCTCACTCCCCCCACCACAGCAGAAGGGGGATCCTGGCTGTGGCCACCTGCTGAGGCCACATGTGTGGGCCCCTGTGGGCATGTGGACCTGGGACGTCCTGAGGCCAAGTCTTGTGATGGCACCTCTGACGTGGGTCCTGGAGAGAAGGATCCCCACTCACCCATCTGTCCACATTTCACTGCAAACAAAGGAATCCACAGGCAAATCCGGGCCCCCCGGGCCGGCCTGGGGTGCTCAGGGGCCGCCAGCATTGTGGGTCAGACCCTGTCTCGTGGCCTCATGTCAGCTGGGGCCTGGCCAGCATTCCCACTGTGGAAAGGTGGCTGTTCTGGGGGTGGGAGGGCTGTGGGTCTGGCCCTGGGCTGAGTGTCTGAGCACCAGACTAGAGAAGTGAGCCACCTGGCCCAGCCCAAACTTAACCTCTGGGGACCCAGGAAAGGCCAGCTCCTTTCCCTGTCAGGCCTAGCACCCCAAACCTCGGGGCGTGGTTGTTCCCAGGGGTCCTACAACAACAGGACTGTGGGGCGCCTTGGGGCGTGGGCTGGCTGCCGGGACAGGCGTGTCTTCTGAGTTCACCGGCTAACCAGCCGGCCCCCCAAGGCCTTCGCCTCACTCTGAGGTGAGCCCTTCCCGACGTGCTGACTCTCCTGGCCGGCGGCCTAGGCCTAAAAGAAAGTAAACATGCGGGAAGTTACAGTTATGCTGTTTTTTTGTTTTTATCTTCTAGGCATTTATGCCCAAATAACAGAATTATTAGGTATGCTAGAGGTAGACAGCAGCAATTTTTGATTCTCAGGCAGACATTAAGAAAAAATCCACCAGAAAGATCTATCCCTGTGGGCTTCTGCCTGTTCCAGAGGCGACTAGACGGAGGCGGCTGGAGGACAGAGGCTGGTCCCGGGGGGGGGCGGGGGGGGGGGTGCTCCCAGGCTGCCCGCCCCTCCCACGGCCAGCGGGGGGCAGAAGAAGCTCGCGGGGATCCAGCCCGGTGCTGGCTCCTGCCAGGAAAGGTGCCCCCACTGCTTCTCTACCACAGTGTCCACCTCGGGTCTCAGCTAACAGGGGAGGCCAGGAGGGACCTGGTGACAAGGGGCAGCGTGAACTGAGAAGATCCTGTTTTCACTGCTCAATCTATGAACTCACAGCCAAAAAAATTTTTTTTCTGGCAAGCTATTGAGTTTACAATTCAACTTATACCTTAGACCTCTGAGATCAACCCCTGAATTTCAGGGGAGAGAGCAAATCATGAGACAGTTGCAAGTTGAGGAATGAGAGAACCACCTGGTCTCAGACCCCTGCCCCCTCCGCCCAGGGGTAGACAAAGGTCCCCTCCCTCTTTGACCACTTCTCTTACTTTTCCATCAAAGGGAAACAGGAAATGACGGAGACCAGAGTTATGATGGCATGACTCCTGCAGTGGGGAGGTGAGGAACAGTAAAACAATCCTGTTTGGCTCAAATTATGGGGTTAAGGTGGGAGATTACAGAAAGAAATAGGCTCATGTTTGAGCTCTGTCAAGTTCAAATTTACTTTCCACGCATCAAAAGGAAAGTGCGTGCTTCCTGCCTGACTGGCCTCACACTTACTCTTCTGGGAAAGGGAGGAGGAGGCAGGGGCCTGGCCTACACGCTGGGCATGTCCAGGGCGTCCCAAGTCAGTCCTTGCTGGCATCCAGAGCCACGCTCCCTGAGGCGAAGAGGTGGAATCGTTCTTGCTGCCAGCCCAGGGTCCACCACAGAGGACCAAGGACATGCAGTGATGAATCAAACTACCCCAGGGGGTGCCATGTGCTAAGGCGCCAGTGGGGACCCTGAGCCACATAAGGGAACCGCCAACAGCTGGCGGCTGGGCAAAGGCAAGCAGCTACGAGGCTTGTTAAAGCGCAAGTGAGGAGGGCAGCGCGAGTCAGTAACTCTGCTTCCTCGGAACATGATTGGCAGCGCCTTGCCCTGAGAGGGCCGGGGGCCAGGACCATGGGGATGCGGCGAGGTGTGCGGGTGAGAGAAAAACCACGTGCAAGCACTCTGTGAACAAGTCCTGGGCTGGCAGTGGCTGACTAGGGACTGCAGGCGAGGCTCTGGAGCCACTGGGGTCCTGGGGAGGGGTGGCAGGGGAGGAGCATGGGGCACAGCTGCCCTGGTGAGCTGGGACCCTGGTATGGGGGACAGATGGGACCCAAGACACTAGGGAACTGGGAGAGGGAAAGGGAGGAAATGCTGATCGGCAGTGAGGGTGGCAGCAGGTACACGGTGTGCAGACCCCACAAAGCCCAGGAAAAGGGGCCCCCGGACAAACAAGGACCACCGAGCAGGGGATCGAGGTGAGGGAGGCACCTGCTGCACCCTCCCCCTTTGTAAAAGTCCACGAATTTACGCTGGGCTCAGACAGTGGCTGCAGGCCCGTGTAAACGCTGCACCTCTAGTTTTTCCCTTTAGAGGGCACTCTGACCCCACAGGATAGGCTCCTTCATCCCCCAAGCGCAGGGATGCAGCTTCCAAGGTGCTCCAGAGCAGGGCCTGCGCCCTGGGCTCCAGACCAGTGTAAACACTCACAGTATTCTGGCCCGGGAGACCGCCTGCGAGGTGCCCGGCGGAGGTCAAGAAGAAAAGATCACTCGGTATTTCCTTCTCGGAGTGCAAGCAACATCACAAAGAGGAGTGTGCAGTTCTCAAGATTTCTGAGCCAGCCACTTAGGTCAGAGCTGTTGCTGCTGAGGCCGGAGGCACCCTGATGATGCAAAGGGACAGGCGGCCAGCCCCTCGCCTGCTCTGCAGACACTGGGCCGTGGTGAAGGCGGCAGCTGCAAACGGCAGGAAGCGCACAGCAGTGCTCCCGAGCACACGGGTCACAGCAGGCCTTCTCCTCTCACAATGATGATGGCGGGTGCCTGTTGGCCCTGGCTGGAGGGGCGGAAGGAAACGGCTACCTGGACAGAGGTCCTTCCAATCTTGGGCGGAGGAGCAACCGAGAGCAGAGGACCGGGAGGCGATGCATCGCGTCTCAGCAGCAGCCGCCGGCTCCAAAGGCCCCGGAGTTCCGCGGCAAGAAGACAGCAGCCTCGGCCTCACCTCGCCTCATCGACCCCAGAGGCCAAAGGCATGCGCCTCCGGGGCCCTGGCTGGGTGTCCGTCCTGGGAGCCGCTGGGAGGCCCTGCCTGTCCAGAAGCCACAGCACCTGCTCAGTCACAGCAGCTCCTGCTCGTCGTCCTCGGAGCCAGAGGGGCCCTGGCGCACCTCCTCGTACCACTTGTTGGTGAGGGTTTTCATCTGGATGCGCCCGTGGTGGAGGTCCTGGGGCAGGAGACACAACCAAGCCCTCGTCAGTGGGTGTGGGTGTGGGTCAGAGCCGAGGAAGGGATGGGGAGCTGCTCTGTTAACTTGTGGGGGAGATGGGAGGCAGGGTGCATGGCCACAGACGACTTCAAAGTGTAAACTAACTAAAACTCAAGCTGGGATTTTTCTTGGTGGGGTGGAGCTAACAGGAGGCGTCACTCAGAAACAGGAGGAAGAGGCAGGATGGTGTGACGTTAACAAATGTGGCCTCTGGAATCAGACATAGTCAGGCTCTGCTCCCGGCTTTGCCATGTATTTGCCAAGGCTGTGTGACCTCAGGAGTGACTTCACCTCTCTGGGCCTCAGTCTCCAGCTGTCAAGTGAGATAACAGCTGCATCTACTGCATGGGTTCTTGGGAGAATGAAATGAAGCAATCATGAAAAATGTTTGTTGTCACGCCTGGCTCACAGAAAGAGCTCACATGCTGACAGCAATCCCCAAAGGAGAGAAAACGGGGCTCAGAAACAAGGGGAGGCAGCAGCCAGAAGAACGCCACCTCTACCCTGAAAGCCTGCATGGGGCAGGATGACAGTTTTAGCAAAGCAGGTCCAAGCTGGTCTCTGTGAGACTGTGTCACTCACTGTAACCCGGAGGCCAGCCGTGCCTGGAGGGATGGAAAGAGAGCCCTGAGCCTTGGACCACTGCCTGAGGCCCAGCATGTCTGAAATTCCTCACTCAGATTGGGGAGCTGATCAGTGCCCCGGGTCTATCATCCAGGAAAAGCAAACTGTGCTCACAAGTCTATTATTAAACTTGCACTAAAGATGGCAGAAAAGGACAAAGAGCAGGTGCTGACGCCACAGCACATGCAGCCGCGCCCCTGCCGGAGAGAAAGCTAAGCAGACGCAGTGGCTTGGCTGCCCCTCCCCCAGACGGAGCACGTGGGCCTTCCCTGCCCTGCCCTGCCCACCCCGCTCTGGGCCACTGCACGTCCGAGGGAGGAAGGCGAGAGACCCCTGGCTGTGTGGTGCTGGCCAGGCCCCACCTCCTGCGTCAGCCGGCGCGTGAAGAAGGGGTTCAGGTACTTGGCGTCCAGCCACAGGAAGCCTTTCAGGTCCTGCCGCCTGACGTAGTGGGCCTCGTACTCCTCCTCGGTGAGCTCAGACAGGTGCTCCGACTCCACGGTGTTGCCCTGCAGGGGGAGGGGAGGCGGGCAGTGGGTGGGCAGCTGGCAGCTTCCCGGAAGCCCCCACACCACCCAGCCTACCTAGCTGCTGCCCACTGCCCTGGCCACTGGTGTCCCCAGTCCTAAGTGCGCCTTCAAATCAGTGCAGGGGGTCTGCAGGCAGCACAGGGCCTCCTGGGAGGGAGGCAGGAAGGTTTGTAAAAACATGGCAGATACCCAGGAATAGACCTGAATTGTGAATAAATGAGAAGTTCAGGGCTGGGCCGGGCCTGCGGCTGGGTGTTTGAACTCTTCAGGTGATTCCCCTGCGCACCAGGACCGGGACGTGCTGTTCCGGCTGGTGCCTCACGAGCGAACAGGACAGGAGGCCGTCTGTGCCTGCGGCGGCCCTCACTATGGTTCGGTTCTGGGCAGTCAAGTCAGTGCAGGGGGGAGGGGGACCATCCAGGCCGGAACCAGAGAGGGATGAAGAGAACCAGCAGCCGACCAGCTGGGGTAGCTGGTCAGGAGGGCCAGTGGGTGTCAGGTTCATCAGATCGCCACCAGCCCCGCTCCAGGCCCCAGGCCCAGAACAGCCCTCCCCTCTGCAGGGACCACCAAACAGGAGTTGAATGCAGCCTTTGCGGCTCCGCCAGCGGAGTGGCTCTGAATCCAGAGTCACTTGGCCTCCGCCCGCCCGCGCGCGGTGTAGGTGGAGGAGGAGAGAGACTGAGCGGACGAAGGCATTTGGGTGCCATGGAGCAGTGGTTCTCACACACTGGCCTGCATCAGAATCACCTGGAGGGCTTGTGATCCACAAAATACTGGCCCACAAGGCCCACCCGGAGTTCCTGATTCAGCAGGTCTGGGGTGGGGCCCAAGAACTTGCATTTCTAACAAGTTCCCAGGGATGCTGCCGGTCCGGGGACCCCACCTTGTGGAGCGCTGATGGAGAGTGTGGTGGTGAAGGGTATGGGCTCTGGGATCTGTGCGCCCGCAGCAATGTGACTGGCCTCCCTGTGCCTCAGTACTCTCATGGGCAGGAGGCTTCTGGCAGCTTATCAGGGCGACCTGAGGGTGCCTGCACATGGAAAACGTTCCCCAAGAACAGCTGTTCTTCTCTGAGCTAACATCCTGGCTCCCCAGAGCTCTGCCTGCCAAGTGTGGCTGCGGGACCAGCAGCTTGTAAGCAACGCAAATTCTTTCCGGCCCTGCCCATACCTGTAAGCCCCCGGAGCCGTCCTCTGATTCTGACACCCTCTTTTAAGGTTTGAGGGGCCGGCCCCGTGGCCGAGTGGTTAAGTTCCCACGCTCCGCTTTGGTGGCCCAGGGTTTCACCAGTTTGCATCCTGGGCACCGACATGGCACCACTCATCAGGCCACGCTGAGGCGGCATCCCACATGCCACAACTAGAAGGACCCACAACTAAAGTATACAACTACGTACCAGGGGGCTTTGAGGATAAAAAGGAAAAATAAAATCTTAAAAAAAGTAAGAGGTTTGAGACCTATGCTAGAGCTTTCATGACAGACAGACAAGAAAGTTGGCAGGTGTGGGGAGAGGGGCTGCTGGGAGGGACGGAAGCTCTGCTGAGCAGCCCAGCCAAGGCCCTGAAGGGCTCCTCCCAGCGCATGGCCCTGCCCGAGAGGCCGGCGCCACCTGGAGGCCACGCTCAGCAGCCCGGGACTGTGCGGTGTGAGAAGTGGGCCCGGCCCCTTCCGTCTCCTGGTTGAGGATTTCTGTGCCTTCCATGACTGATTAAAGTTACCGGCGGCCTAGGATAAGGGAACTAGAAAAAGACGCGTTTCTAGAAGTGTGTGTGGGGGGTGCAGGAGGGTGGGACAAGAGACCATGGCAGCCTCTGCTCTGTCAGAGAGCCTGGCTCAGCACAGGGGCCTGAGGTGAACACAGGGCAAGGCAGGCACGACCACAGCTGCCTCAGACGGGGCCGCTGGCAGGCGCAGCTGCCGGGGCAGGAGGGTGGCTTGGAGGAGGCACAGGTGGGCAGGGGTTTTGGGGCCTGAGGCTCACTGCAGCTGGGCCTGGGCGCCTCCAGCCCCAAATCATGCCTTCATCTGTCCTCTCTCATGGCCTCAAAGCCACCGTCAGCAGCATCCTCTCCCCAGGCCCTAACCGGCGGCTTTCAGGACATGGTGGGGAATGATGGGATTCTGAAACCTTCCAGGCCCGGGCCCTGATGGGGTGGTGCGGCTACTGGCAGCAGAGAAGTGCTGCTGGGCGAGGCTGACACGGGTCCACATGCCCTCCACGGCTTCACCAGGCCATGAGGCTGGCAGACAACTGACCCCAAAGAGCTATGCTTTGGCACTCGAGTTCAACCTCTTTCTCAAGTTGTGCAACTGGCATGTGCATGTGTGCACGCATGTGTGCGCGCGCAGGTCCTAAGTATCCTCAAATCGAGTCTCATTTCCCCATTTCCCGGCAGTAGGTGGGAACGAACCCTCTGCTCCCACCCAGGGCCACCTGGCACTCACCATCTTCTCCGTCTTGCTGAGGTTGACATCCTTCTTGTTCTTGCGGCGCGCCTTGGCATCCTCGATGTCCATGAGGCGGATGAGGGGCATGGTGCTGCCACCCAGCAGCAGGATGGTGAAGAGCACGATGATGATTGTGGTGGTGCCAATGAGCTGCCGCTTCTCCATGGGCTCCAGGTCCAGGTGCAGGCTCAGGGCGTAGGGGATGGCTCCCCGCAGGCCTGGGGGACAGTGAAGAAAGTGAGAGTGGAGGTGGAGGGAGGAGGCAGTGGCACCGCAGGCCCGGTCCTCTGGGGATCTGGGCGAGGCCAGCAGCACGGGCAGTTGCCCATTGTAACAGAGCCCCTGGAGAGTGCAAACATCCTATGAGGCTCTGGGCTGTGAGAACAGCAGGCTGCAGAGAAGTGGGGCCCAGGCAGAAGCTCACCCCCGTCCCCACCTCACAGGATGGTTGAACACATCAAATGAGGTGTCCTGTGCAGGTACGGAGCACTGGGGGTGTGCGTGGGAGGACCTATCAAGCCCAATGCTCACATTTGAGAAATGTGACGGCTAGTGCAGACCAAGCCCTCCCTGTGTGCGCACGCAGCCCCTGGCTCTTCACAGGAAACCCGTGGAGCAGGTCCTATTAGTCTCCACAATATACAGAGGCGGAACCGAGACTGAGGGAAGGAAGCGTCCTCCAGGGCCCCACAGCAGCACACAGGCAACGGCACAGAATGCGGGCTGTCCAGAGCCCCGTGGATCTGAAGATGCTGCCCCTGAGTAGCTCTGGGCAGCACTCACAGGCTGGGGGCTGCTCTGGGGGTGGCCAGAGGCTGCTGGGAACCGCATCATGGCCTCTTCCTTACTTCCTATCTTGGTCCCCTGTGAGGCTGCTGCTGGACTGAGCTGGGGAAAAGCACTTTCTCTCTAAGAAACTTCCTGGCTCGCCTAGTGCCATATAGAGGGGAACAGGCAGTCCTGCCCCGCCCTCGGGGGGGTTCTCAGAGTGACAGGGAGGAGAGACACCAAGAGGACTTGTGATATGGTGCGTGCCAGGAGAAGGAGGCGGGGCAGGGCGACAGGTCACAGGGGTGAGCGGAAGGGGGGATGACCAAGGAAGGAAAGGGCACAGAGGATGCCCAAGTCTTCGTGGGCAGGCAGTCCTAGGAGGCTGTGCCATGCAGTGGTCTGGGCCCGGTGTCTCGAGTCTGGACCTGGGTTCATCTCCTGGCCCCCTAATTTCCCCTGGCCTCCCAGGCTGGGGCAAGTGACTCAAATCAACCGCTCAACCTGTCAGGAGGGACTAGAAACAGGACCTGCCATTCAGTGACGCAAGGACGAAATGCCTGGGCCCAGAACAGCATGTGCACACGGCGAACACTAAGAGCCAGCCACACCTCTGTAACAGCGCACACTGCTGCCTTCTGCGGAGGGAGCAGGTCAGGCAGGAGGGCAAGTGCAGTCCAAGACAACGAGAGTGCGACGCCTCCACGACATGCGAAGAGGATTCAGACATGGGAGTCTGGATCTTAGAGGAAAGGGAACAGCTTTGGGAAGGTGGGAACTAGGTGGAGTCGAGGCCACAGGACAGCTGGGCTTGTGACAACACAACAGCAGAAGTGGGTCTGGGGTCAAGTCCCGAGGAAGCCAGGACTTGAAGGGTCAGCAGAGGAGGAGGGGGAACCGGACAGGAGCCGAGAAGACCCTGATGGGAAAGGAGGGGAACCAGGAGCATGCCTCAGAGGCCCAGGGAAGAGGGGGAGAGAGTCTCCAGTGAGAAGGCAGGTGGGCAGGAGGAAGGAGCCCAGCTGAGCAGATGGGCGGAACAAGGGCTGACCACTGCCCACCAGCTCTGGCTGCAGGAGGTGGCTGGGGACCTGAGCAAGGTCCAGTCCAGCCTGTGGACAGGAGGTGAAGACGTAGAGAAAATGGGTGAGGACAACCCACTTCAAAGAGGTCTGGCCATGAGGAGAGGAGAGGGGGAAGCAGCTGGAGGGGATGTGGGGTAGGGATTTTGGCTGAAGTTTTGGTTTTTTGCTGGGAAAGAGGAGAATCTTCGACTGTTTAAATGATGAGGGGAGGAGCCAGTAGAGACAGAGGCTGCTGATCCAGGAAGGAGAGGCAGGAATCCACGGAGGGAGGGTGCAGGAGGGGATGGACGGGGGAGGGCGAGGGACGGCCTGGGAGAGAGCACCCGGACCACAGCCTTCACAGTCGAAAACGCCCGGCCCGCTTCCCCATGGAGGTCTCTCGTCACGCCCCCCTCCCAAACAGCTCACATAACTTTAAAGATTTTAATTTTTTCTTTTTCTCCCCACAGCCCCCCAGTACATAGTTGTGTATTTTTAGTTGTGGGTCCTTCTAGTTGTGGCATGTAGGACGCCACCTCAGCATGGCTTGATGAGCGATGCCATGTCCGCACCCAGGATTAGAACCAGCGAAACCCTGGGCCGCTGAAGCAGAGTGTGCAAACTTAACCACTTGGCCACGGGGCCGGCCCCTCACATGACTTTATAAAATACCTGATACATTTCTTAGATTTTCAAGACTTTGGATCAACTACTTGACAAAAATTTTCTTCCTCATTGGCAAAAAAGATTGAGAAAAAAGGTTACTCTCACTATATGAACATACATATGTATGTATCTCACACATATACAAATATACTTTAAACAAAGCCTTTGAAAGAGAAAAGAAATCTGAGAAATGTACAGGCATGCTACCGGACAGGAAACAGCTTATAAAGCATGTTGCTCTACCCTGACCCACACAGAAGTATTTTAATTGTAATATTTAAATAAGAAAGCACAAAGAACTGGATGTATTGCTCAAAAATAAATTTAAAGATGCCTAAAGACCCAGTTCTTTAGGAGCCAAAGATTTATAAAATTACTTCCATCCTTTAAAAAGTAGAGGAATATGATTGAACATCAAACGAAATGTTCAAATAAACTATCAGAACTTAGTGTGACTGAATGAAAAAAATATCCAATTCGAGCCTGTAGTACACAAAAGTGTAAACTTTAATCTTTCTGATTTTGAGCCCTTATGACTTCAGCCTAGAAAGCAGACAGTTGAGAGGTGCCCCTGTGCACCTTGCCCTGGGCGAGGAAAGACCGGGGGTAGGGGTGCAGATCAAAAGCAAGCCCTCTGGCCTGCCGCCTGTGCTCCCCCAGCAGCAAAGCGGTCATGGAGCCCCCGTTCCACAGGCGTGTGGGTACTGTCTGTGTGGGGCCTGGAGTACAGCGGGCGCCTGTTAAATGTGAGCTTGCATGATTTCCGGCTCGTGAGGCACACTGCTCAGAGGGCTCCAGCAGAGAGCCAAATGTCGTCTGCGTGGCGTGTGCCTTTATAAGCGGTAGCTTCCCTCCGCTGTCCATCCAAGGCTGGACTTACCACTAAACCACATGATGAACATCATCTTCGGTGTGATTTTATGATCACGGAAGAAATTCAGGAGGTAGGAAAGAGGGAAAATGTTCACCGCTCTGCCAAACAGTACAAGCACCTGTTAATAGCAACAGACTAAGTTTTAAAGATTTCATTTTTCCTTTTTCTCCTCAAAGCCCCCTGGTACATAGTTGCATATTTTTGGTTGTGGCTCCTTCTAGTTGTGGCATGTGAGATGCAGTCTCAGCATGGCCTGATGAGTGGTGCCACGTCCGCAGCCAGGATTCGAACCGTCGAAACCCTGGGCTGCCGCAGCGGAGCACGCGAACTTAACCACTCGGCCACGGGGCCGGCCCCAACACACTAAGTTTTAGACAGAAACCTCTGGCTTTTCAAGTTGAAGCTTGTCAAAGCTAACCTAGACCTTGAAACACACCCATCGTAAGTGCAGTGTTCCCCTCGGTCATAAAAGATGTGAATAACACAATGCCAGTCAGAGGCCCAGCGGGTGTGCTGCCATGGTGGCCAGTTTCTGCGTGTCTGGGAGGACAAAGCCGTGTATGTTACGGTTCTGCAGTCCGAAACAGGACTAGCAAGTATCAACGACGGCTTTAGTAATGACAGGAGAACCAAACCGAATGCCAAGAGGCTGTGCAGAAGTACCCAGAGGCTAATTTAAGGGCACTAACTGCTCTGATGGTGCGCCACCGTGCGACAGGCCTGCACTAATCATTCTCACTGGGCCCGCTCTAGAGGGACAGACAAGGCGTTCCTGCCTCTCCGGGGGGGCCCACTGCTCAGGGAAAGGAGGGAAGACTGAGCAGGGCCTCCCGTGCTCATAAATGCTGCTCTCTGAGCAAAAGGAATGTGTAGGTAGGTTCTAAAAGGCGGTGCTTGCCACGGCTTTTGGTTCTTAACCATCTCCAAAGGCACTGCGGTCTTAACAAAACACTGCTTTATGTAAAGTTCAAATCTCATCTAAGTGGATACGTAGAACGACTTATTAATTTACTTTCATTCTTTTCATCTTGCTTCTCACCATAATCAACTTGAAAGGATTAATAGACACACATGCATTCTGTAGGCTCCGAGTTTCTTCCTTTAACAAGCATGAAATGAGTGGGCTTTGGACTGTGTGCCTTGGATGGTTAAGTTAACAAGGATGGCTCCCAATCACCAACATTTATATGCCAGACAATGCGTGAGGCACTTTATATGCATTACCTTGTTCAATTCAGGTCCCTGCCACAGTCTTATGGAGGTATTACTGTCTCTACTTTAGAGACCGGGGAATGGACACAAAGAGGGGCCACATAACTGGTGCAAGCTGACCCAGGCAGGGAGTGGTGGGGCCAAGCCCCCACAGCCCAAGCCCTTGACCACTGAGTGACTCGAAGGTAACCCACCTGCAGAGCACAGGCCGCCTCCAGGAGCACCGGGCTAGCCTGACTAGCTGCTCAGGGGAAACTGAGTTACCACCCCAGGGCATCTTCTCACTTCCCTTTTCCTCCCAACCCACAGCTGAGACGGTCGCCTCCCTGTCTTACCCCCTGAAATCTAATCCTCCCTTCCTGCACTTGTATTTCAGGTTTGACCAAACGTGGCCCCCGTCAGCCAGTGACCACACTACAGACTACTACACTTTCTGAAAAGACTCACTGCTGTTCTCTTGTCCTAAAACCTAAGTCTGGAGGATAGATAACAGTGACAAAAGCAACGTGCTCTTGCTCACTGAGAGGTGGAAGCACCTAGACTGCAAGGAGAAACATCTTTTCCCTTAGGCTTCCTTATCTTCTCTCTCAGTTTCCCCATATGCCAAACAGGTGGACCTCACTGGTTTGTACATGGTGGGTGACTGTGCTAAAAAAAAAAGAAGGCTGCCTCTCAATAGCTGTGTTTTATTAAGTGAAGTGGGTAATAAAAGTTAACTGAACATGAATTACGGTAATTCAACAACAATAAGGTGCGCTTCTTAAGTGCCTTAAATTAATAGAGGATCTAAAAAGACAACAAAGATCAAATTAGGGCTCAGAGTATGAATCAGCAGGAGGGCCTACAGGAGAGGAGCTCACGCTGAGGGAATAGAGACACAAGGAGGAACATAGACAAGGGATCGCGGGACACTAGGCTAAATGCCCAAAGTTAGAAGCCATTCATTTCACTTTGGTCAGATGCCTGAGGGAGCTGAACCCTTCTTTTAAATGTTTATTCCACCCCACCCCCCAGATTCCCCAAAAGGATTTGATTCTACAGCAAACGACTAAATTTCTATTTTCCTTTTTAAAAGGCGTATTTTCATTTATCCCCTACTGCCATCCCCAGTCCAATTATAACAGTTTTCCAAACGTTGATGGTGAAAGTCACCTGGGATGACGCCTCTGGAGGAACCTCCAGGGTGGGAAAGGGCCTGGTATCTTTACTTTAATCAAGTGTCCAAGGTCACGCTTAAAAATGGACACATTTGCAGAAAACCACAGTAAGAAGTAAGTATATGTATTATAAATTATCCAAAAGAAAAAGAAAAAGAAAGAAAGAAATCATCCCCAGTTCTGCAACCACTGTGAACACTTGGCTGTATTTTCTTTTTTCTACGCATAAAGCTTTGACATGATTGTGACCAATTACACACTCAATTCTGAAATCTGCTTTTACCACCTAACACAAAACACATAGACGTGTGCATTGTGAAAAAGACCGTAACATTCAAGGCCATTGAAAACTTTAAAAGAAGCCAGAATCCTTTTCCAGGGATATTCATTCACTTAATTCCATCCCTTTTTCCTTTATTGTATGTTTGTGATCTTTTGACAAAAGAAACTTTAAACAGAAGAGTGTCTATGTAGCTGTTGACTTTCAACAGTTAACAGTTACATAAATGAATCCACAACACATGGTTATTGATCCACAAATAAGTAATTAAATAAAAAACAAGGAAAATACTTACTATGCACCAGATGACAAAGGAAATTTCAAACTTGTGAGGGAAACTAAAAATGGACAGGCCAAGAAATGCAAACACACATGTTTCTGAAACAAACCAAAGAATGGATTATTCAGCCCCAACTATTTTCTTCTAATATAGTGCTAAATTGTTAAGCAAGCAAACATTCAGAAGTCAGTCAGAATCCAATATACATTTTGCTTATTTTTCTGGAAAATCCTGCAACCAATACCTTGGTGAAACTTGTACTTCGACTCTCTCATTCTTTTCTTTAATTTTTTTTATTGCAGTAACACTGGATTATAACATTATGTAAGTTTCAGGTGTACATCGTAATATATTTCGAATTCTGCGTAGATTACATCATTTTCACTCTCTCCTTCTTTTCTATCACACAGCAACACGTGCTTGCTGTTCAGAATCTCCCAATTTAATGAGTCAACAGTCAAATACTCATGCACATAAATGCTCTCCCACCCGGGAAGATGATAAATATATGAATCTGTCCATTTGCTGAAGACTGTGATTAGCAAGGATCCCAACTGTGGCAACGTGGCAAAAATTCAGAGCAAATGGCTGCAGACCCACATCACTGGTGTGAAGGGGCCCTTTGTTAACTTCCTCACCAGAGCGGACAAAGCCAAATGATTGACTTCACATATTTAATGCCGCCACAAGGTTTGGAAGATGGCTTACACCCTGCAGGACTGGCAGGAAGAGAGACATTTCCAGCTCTTGGCTCCGCTCCACAAGTCAGAGTCTGATGTTTACTCTCGCTGCACAAGCAGTCGCTTGTGTATCCTGAGAAACAGCACCTTATAAATTTCCAGCGCTAGGCCCCATGCTTACCCTGTGGCGTCCCCAGCCCAGCTAGTAACCAGGGAGACAAAGACTGCAGTTTAAAATAGTTGAACATCATAAGACAGCGAGGCTGTTCTCAAGTATTTCAGCAATGTTTTTCCTTCAAACATGTATCGTTTTAAAACCCGTCCACGAGCTGGACAGGACAGTCACCCTTCTCCTCCTTCAATTTTTTTCTTACCTAGTAAATATTTTTGTGATCTTTCCAAATGGGCTCATTTAGAACATATTCAGATCTATGTTATACTTTTCCCTGGCAGAAAAATTCTATTATATGGACATGTCATGGTTAATGTGGATGGATATTTAGACTGTTTCTATTTCTGCTATCACAAGCTACGACAAACAATTCAGCCTGTACACAGGCTACACTCTGATGTTGGAATCGCTGGGTCAGAGAGCATATGCCTTTTAAACTCAGACTGATGCTGGAATGACTCTCCAAAAAGACAGCATCGATGGACACCCATCAACAGGGCCCGTTTCCATACAGCCGTGCCAGAAGTGGGCATTAGCAAACTTAAGATTTGCCAGTCTGATGGGTACAAAACAGAATTTGACAGACGTTTTGCTTTACACTCCTTTAACTGTGAGAGTGAGGGTCAGAGCCTTTAGCTATGACTTTCTGAGAGGGGAGCTGTGGAAAAAATACCCACTGGACCAGGCAGAGACAGACCTGGCTTCCAGACTCACTTCTCAGCCATGAGACTGTGGGCAAGTCATTTGACCTCTTGGCACCTGAGCCTCCTCATCTGCGGAATGAAGTCTGCATGACCTGCCCCTGCCTCCTAGCACGTGAGAGTGGGGAACTAGTGCTTCAAAAGGAGACAAGCCCCACTGACAAGCCATGAGAGATGCCGATGATGACAGCTAGGGCACTGCCACCTGGCCAGCGTAAAGGGACAGTATGAGAGTGGTTCCTTCACTCCCAGGTATAAAATAGGGGGGAGGCAGGTGGGGGAGCAAGAGTTCAAACTGAAACTGCTTAAAAGAAGCAGTCACCATGGTGGACCCCAGCCCAACAATGACACCTCCAATGCAGAATCTCCCCAAGTGCTGTCCTTCAAGATGCCCTTGTTCTGCGGGCAGGCGTGAGAGATGCTGTGGCCACACCCCTCTTAGAAACTCAGGACGCACGTGAGCTAAAGGCTGTAATTCACAGGCTTGTAAAACCATTTACCCCAGGATTTTCCAAACTCTTTTTTGACTCTGGAGTCTTTTTTTCATCTAACTCTCATCAATATCAGTTCCAACGAATACATTTTTGGAAATCTCACTTTAATACATAAAAAATGCATGAGTCTCCAAAATGTTCAGAATTAGTAGTTCTCTTACTTTTGGTCTTAAAATTGTAGGCATCAAATGTTCCATTTGTTAGGTTTACTTGATGGAATTTGAAAGCCAAAGTAACAAACAAAGTCTAAGGGAGCGCAGTTTCGGCTCTGAGGAACTCTGCCGCCTCTTCTGCCAGAAAATCTCAACCGATGCCCACAGCAGGGCGAGGGAGAAGCACTTGCTCTGGGTGGCCTGCGAGGAGCTGCACGGAGGGGAACTCACCACACAAGAAGGCCACGGTCCGCAGGGTCTGCTGCATGAGGATCTGGGTGACCGGGGACAGGTTATGGTGTGTGTAGTGAGACATCACGATGCCCGAGAACAGGATGGCCATGATGCCTAGAGAGACAAAGGGGCAAAGGGCACAGACATGAACAGAGCAGAAAGCACCTGCTACGTGATACACAAACAGTTATCCTGCACTTCCTCCAAGTCCCTGGAGCATTAGGTGCTCTAGAGTATAAGACCCCGGAGTATTAGGTGTTTAAAGAAAAAGGAAAAGAAAAAGGAGAGGAAAATAATACCTGAGGCCTCCCAGAGGCTGCAGAGAAATGCTCAGGGCCCCTTCTCTCTGGCAGCTTCATTACTGGCTGGGTGACCTTGGGCCAAGTTTCTCCCCCTCTTTAAGCCTCAGTTTTCTCATCCGTACAGTGGGACTAAAAGTACCCACTCATGGAACTGTCAGGAGGGTAATGAAGATAAGCCACATAAAGTCCCCATCCCAGGGCCAGGACGAAACAGGCGTGATCTGTCACCGCCATCCACGGATATAAGGGGGGCAGGCGAACCACTCGTGGGGAAAGGAAACATAAGAATGTGGGTGTGGAGAACAGGTGGATTTTGACTTACTCTTTTACACTTTTCCTCGATTTTGAATTTTCCCATAATCACCATAAATTACCCTTACAAAAAGAGACATGTGTTATTTAAAAAGTCACGTATCTCTTCTTTAAGGTTCTCCATGAGAGAGTCTACAACTTCTGTTGTTTACTCAGGATTCAAGTCTCAACTTTCGTCCCCTGCCCTGCATCATTCCCGAAGCCCTCTGCATGGGCTTCCTCTCAGTGTCTCCCTGCCTGGACAGCAGAAAAGGGGTCTCTATTTCACGTGAGGAAGCTGAGATTTTTACAGAGTCATGAAATACGCTGCCAAGATAAATGAATCGCAAGTCAAACTTCATAAGCAAACATTTAACTTGCTTCGGCCATTGTGTAGAAACAGGGATCACTGGCTAAGGTTCCATTTATAAAAGGATGAAAATCGTAGAATTGTATCGGAAACATTTCACCTGGTTAGCTTGCTCTATAAACAATATCCTACAAAATACAGGCAAACCCTACTACTTGTGGTGCCCAATAGGCATCTGCTGAGAGACAGCAACAGCGCAACATTTTCTCTCTTAGGAAAGAGCAAACGCCTGTGCTCTTTCATTTTCCCCACGAAGGCGGCTAGACGGAAATTCCAGCAATGCTGCCCCAGCCACACCTGACAAGACTGGAGAAGGGAAAGGAGGGGTCAGGAAACTCCTCCACTGGCTACTTTACAGTGCTGAGAAGACTCGAGCTCGAGAGTTGCTCTGAACCACTGCTCTGCTAGGAAAAACACACACGAGACAAACCGCCGGGGTTCCCTCCATTCACTGGCTTTTCTCAGGCTGTTCCTGCACCGACCACTCAAAGAGCCTGCCCTTCCTGACCCTGCACCGAAACACAGGGCGCTGAGGCCGAAAAGGCCACACGAGGTGAAACCGAAGGGGAGAGGCTAGTCCCCGGGGCTGGAGCTCAACCTCGGCCATTGAGGCTGGGGCGGAGGGCAGGGACCCAGGCCAGTGTTCAGAGAACAGATCGAAAGGCTCTCCCCTTTACTTGCAGTCCAGCGCTAGGGTTCTGGCTTCTGGGAGTTCAAAGGCTTTGTTCACCAGTCTGCTTTGAGGAGGGTTATCAATTCACTGGCACAGCTGAGACTTTGCAGTTCTAACCTTGAAGCGAAAGTCAACCCCTGAGGAGCTTGATCCCTGTTTAAGCTGTGACACGAACGCCTTCCACCCACAGAGAGATGCTGTCACAGCCCACGGTCTGACATCAAATAACCGCTGCGGAGAGCCAAACGCTCTGGGAAGTCACATCTGAGAGTGGAAAGGGGAAGTCCCCTGGGGCTGAACATCAGGAGAGCCCACGGCCAGAGCCCCAGGGGGCTCGCCTGTCCCCGGGCCGTGCGCCTCAGGCTCTTCAACAAGGGGACAGGCCCAGCGCAGAAGGGGCTTGGCTGCCAGTTGAGTCTGGCGCACTAGGCCAGTGGTTGGAAACTCAAGCTCCTTGGGGGCCAGACAATAAAAATAAGTGGGTGAGCGTCACGTGGGCAAAGAAGGCACAAGACCATCTACAGAGGGCTGACGGCAGCTCCGGACGGGGGCCTAGCGCTGACCAGGCTTCCTTCTGATTTTTTGAGAGACGCCAGAAATCTGTGTCTTACGAGAAATCTCCCAACTAAACGACAGCAACTAATTCAAATGTTTAAAAATTTTGTGTATAAATAAACCCCATCTGGGGGCAAAATTTGGACCATATGAAAATGGGCCCTCTGGCCAATGCACGAGTGAACAGCTAGCCACCACTTTTACCCTGGGTTCGTCTGGAGTCAGGGCATCTCTCAAGTTCTGGGGGCTAAAAGAAAGAGTCAGTGATAGCAGCGGGTGCAAAAGCCCAAGGGACAGCTCAAGTGTCTGCCCTATGTGCCCCCTCTAAGCAACAGAGACTTCACCACCACCCAGACCACCTCATCCTCTGCAGCTGCCACTGGCACAGGCTGAGACAACACTAACAGGGTAACATCCTAGAGATAGAAGGCATGGGTATTTAAAAACATGCCCTGCAAGGAAGAATTCCTGAGACATTTCCTTCTTTCAGAAGGCAAATCATGGGGCCGACCCTGTAGCGTAGTGGTTGGGTTCATGTGCTCTGCTTCAGTGGCCCAGGGTTCGAGGGTTTGGATCCTGGGCACAAACCTATGCACCACTCATCAAGCCATGCTGTGGCGGCATCCCACGTAAAATAGAGGAAGATTGGCACAGATGTTAGCTCAGGGCCAATCTTCCTGAGCAAAAAAACAAGGCAAATCATTTAAGGAAGTAGGTAATAGTGCAGCAAACTTAGCCTCTTGGAAGGAAGAAAGAAAAGAGGGGAGGGAGGAGGGAGGAGATCCATTCCTAGTCTCAGTTAAATCCATTGTTTTAAATGTAATAAAGGAATAGAGTAAAGGGATCCAAGTCCAAAAGGCAGAAGCTCAAAGGGTAACAAGGTATACTTTCCACTGTATTGTATCTTACTGTGGGTAAAATATGATATACTTCTTGAAGACTGAGTCAAACCACAGCCAGTTTTGTTAATTACCCAATAATCAACATATTTGGCTATAAAACATCCAGACTCAGAGGTATTGAGTCAAACAAGAGAACCTCCATCACACTGCCTGCCCGGAGGTAACCACTATTAACAGTTCAATGTGCAGATCACCAATTCTTTTACTAGGCCATTATAAAGTTTACCTATCTTCAAAAGTAACAAACAGGATCATATTACAGATAGGGCATGCATTACCAGCACGGTGATTTTTTTAAAAGGCCTCTGACACTTGCCTTTGCAGGTATAACAGAACTCCAACTCCGTCCCAGGCCCACAGAGCCCTGTGGGCCAGGTCTTGCCCTCTGCCCCAGCCACACTGGTCTTCCTGCTCTTCCCCGGGAGTTCCAAACTCCCCCAGGCCTACCCCTGACTTTCAGCACCTGCTGCTCTCGCTGTGGAACACACCTCCCCCAGACCCTCAGGGCTGGCTCCTTTTCAGCTCACAGGTCTCAGCTCCAGCACCACCCCTTCAGGGAGCTCTTCCCAAGCCCGGCACTTCTGCCGCTGGGCCGCCCTCTAGCCCATCACTCTGATTTCTTCCTTCATATCACTTCTCATTACCTGAAAGGACTGTACATGTCTGCTTACTTGCTCCTTGTCTTTCTGCCACAGGCAGGCAGGACCTGATCTCGTCTTGTTTACTACTGTAGCCTATCCTAAGGATGGTTCTCACACAGGGTAGGCATTTAATAAATATTTACTGAGTGGAGGAATGAAGGGTTTTTCAACTTTCATTCTTAAAATTGAACAATGTATCTTGGAGTTCTCTCCATGGCAGTACAAACAGGTCAAATTTGTTTTCTAGTGGCTGCACAGTATTTCAGGTGAGAATGGACCAAACATATGAGATCTTTCCTGTTACTGACGAACGTTAGTCACGTCCAGTTTTTCTCTCACAGGCAGTGCTGCAAAGGAATTCCCTGGATGGAAGCCTGTGCGCAGGAGTGCTGGACGATACATTCCATCTTTGGCCAACATTTTCCCAAGATTTTACAGAAAGTATTGTGTTCTGATCAATTTTGCAAACTCCTCCTTCAAAGCTAAAAGTGCCATCCTCTGACTCACCTCGACAGCGGTGCTCTGCCCCACTCCCCCTCCCTCAGCCCAGAGTTGGCTCAACTGGCAAGGATGGGGTCTATTGTCTTTGAGTCTTTATCTTCAGAGCCAGAGGGCAAAGTGACCCTCAAAACTGGCTTGAATGAACAAGAGAAAAAGTTAACACTGATAGAATTACAACAAAGATTCTGAGAATAGCTAATGCTTACCTAGTAATAATTAGGGAGACTATTTAATTTGCTGTTGAAACCAGGACACTTTTGGGAGTGAAAGGGGGTGTTATTAATTTGTCATGTTGGGACAAAAGGGGAAAACTGGGGGTATCAGGGCCAACCAGGACATGTGGCAACCTTAGCACTAACATACATTGATGCCCGTCAGGGCTCTTCCTTGCACCGGTTCCCTTTAATCCTCACCACAGCCACACACTTTTATTATGTCTAGTTCACGACGAGGAAGTGGATGCTCAGTGTGGTTAAGTCTGTTGTCTGAGGTTACACAGCTGCTGAGAGGTGGAGCTGGAATTCAAACCCAGGTCTGTCCAGTTCTTAACAGCTGTTCTAAACGCGTGATTTAGGTAAATGATTCGTAAGGAGAGAATGTCCTGCTCAGTGGTCCTGGTAACCACTCATTCAGTCCTTTGTGACGGTCAGGAAGAGCAGAGCACAGAAAGGATGGAGATGACGGCACAAACAGCACCTTTCCCGTGTGTCCTCTTACAGGGGGATTTGGAGGGTCCTCACAACACACCAGTGCTATCCTACCCTTCTCTGAAAACCCTGTGTGACAAATATCCCAAAGGCAGAGCGTGGGCAGAGCCGAGCCCATCACCAGAGGCGGGGGGTGTCCTAGGGCTGCATACGCTCTCTGTTGGCCCAGTAACATGTGCAGCAGAGGTCCCTAAGGAAACGAAACTCCTAGAAACAGAAAACACTGCGTCTCTGAAGAAAAGACAAGAAAAACACTCCATTGTTTTAATCACAAATTCCAAAATGATGGAAGGCCAGAGCCAAATGACTCACAGGTAATGTTTATATAAGTGCCCAAATTCAGGAAAGATAAGAGAGGAAACCTGATGGCAGATAATGGGATGACATTATCCAAGAGAATTGGTTTAGGATTAAAAACAAACAAAACCCTGAGGTTTACAAAGAGTTCTCCAGTGAAAATGGCCAGAGTCCTCTCTGCTTCCTCCGGGCAAGATCTGCTCACAGAGTACCCTCCTTTGATTCCGGATAGTGATCTGTGGGGAGAATTCTGTTCAATGGAATCATTAAAACCCACCGGGGACTTCCACTCTGCCCATGAAGAAATAACAGCCTCACAAACTGCTGTCCTGCCACAAACAACTAGAAATCTGATAACAGATACGAGACAAAACTGTTTCCTGACGTTGGGCACCAGGCATGGTAGGACTGTGACTCTTGGCAGAAGGGAAACAAACAAGATGGCCACTCCTGCCCCAGGCCCTGGCCCAGCTTACTGCCTGGACGTAGTTTCCACGCTGAGGCTCAGGGAGGGGAACCCCAAACTGAGCCCAGCAGTCTCAGTCTTGGTGAGAAGAGAAGATGAGAGATGGGCGAGGCCAAAGCAGCTAGAGCACCTGGGAGGAGGAGCCGCACAGAAGGACCTCTGGAGAGCTGCAGCAGAGTCCCCTTGAAGCTTGGGCCAACACTGATCTGTACTTGAGTGGGGTGAGATTCCAAGAGGCTGGGGAAAGAAGCTAAAAAGGAGAAGGCTGGGGGCTGGCCCCGTGGCCGAGTGGTTAAGTTCGCGCGCTCCGCTGCAGGCGGCCCAGTGTTTCATTGGTTCGAATCCTGGGTGTGGACATGGCACCGCTCATCAAACCACGCTGAGGCAGCGTCCCACATGCCACAACTAGAAGGACCCATAACGAAGAATATACAACTATGTACCGGGGGGCTTTGGGGATAAAAAGGAAAAAAATAAAATCTTTAAAAAAAAAAAAAAACAAAATGTTTAAAAGCCAGTGATGCCGAGGAAATTAAAAAAAAAAAAAAAGGAGAAGGCTGAACAATTCCCAAGGTGGACACAGGGCTGGGAATAGTTTGTGTTCCCATCAGCCAGAGTGGAAGGGCCTCATACCAGATGAGACATGAGGCGGGGTCCTCAGAAGGGTGCTGCCTCGGTGCTGAGTGCTGCTCTGGACCTGCCCTGACAAAGTTTAAAGCAGATCTCAAAGGATTAAACTGATTCCAAGGAATTTAGATACATGCCAGAAGAAAGTCCAGAACCCTATGAAGGAATACAATAAAATTTAGTATTCAACAACACAATGCAGTTCACAATGACTGGCATCCAATCAAAAATTAATAGGCAAGCAAAGAGCAGGAAAATAGGACTTATGAAAGGAAGAAAAATTAATTGACAGAAGCAGACCTAGGACTGACAGATGATGGAATTAGCAAACAAAGACATTAAAATAGCTACTACAAATATGTTCCATATGCTCAAGAATGCAGAGATAATCATGAACACGAAGAGGAGGAGAAATGGAAGACATAAAAATGACCCAGGGGCCGGCCCCGTGGCCGAGTGGTTAAGTTCTCGCGCTCTGCTTCAGTGGCCCCGGGTTTCGCTGGTTCGGATCCTGGGCGCGGACATGGCACCGCTCCTCAGGCCATGCTGAGGCGGCATCCCACATGCCATAACTAGAAGGACCCACAACTAAAAATATACAACTATGTACCAGGGGGCTTTGGGGAGAAAAAGGAAAAATAAAATCTTAAAAAAAAAAAAAGACCCAAAGGGAACTTCTGTAGATGAATAATACAATATCTGAAATGAAAAATACACTGGTCGGGATTAACAGGAGATTGAGCATGGCAAAAGAAAAGGCATAGGGGAAAAAAGATTAAAAAAAGGGCAAAGCTATTATAACTGGAGTCCCAACAAGAAAGGACAGGGGAGGACAGAAAAATGTATTTCAAGAAATGGGTAAAAATGTCTGCAGGAAAGCTATAAACTTACATCAACCATAAACCCAAGAAGCTCAACGCCCCCCAAGCAGAATCCAAAGAGAACCAGACCACGCCACATCAAAATCCAATTGCCACACACCTATCAAAACGGCCAAACTTCTTAAAATTAAAATAGATGTCGGTGAAGATGCGAAGTCGCTGGAACTCTCTCACACATTCTGGTGGGAATGTGCACGATCCAATCACTTTGCAAAACACTTGGCAGTTTCTAATACAGTAAAGCACACAACTTCCTATATGACCCAGCAACCTTACTCCCAGGTGTTTATCCAGGATAAATGAAAACATATGTAAATATTCACAGCCAAAATCTGGAAAAACCCAAACATCCTTCAAACGGTGAATGGATAAACGTGGCTGAGTAAGAACGTATAAACTACTGATACAGCAAAAACGTGCCATCTCTCAAGAACGTTATGATAACTGAAAGAAATGAAACACAAAAGACTACCTACTACATGATTTCATTCATATGACATTTATATTCTGGAAAAGGCAAAACTATAGTGAAAGAATGCCAGGGCCCAGGGATGGGCCGAGCGACTGCCGGCCCTGGGCTGTCTCCCCGCCTTTGAGTGAAGGCCTTCTTTCTTTGGGAAAGAGGGAACACTGGAAGAGAGATTTTGATCTCTGCTACGGGATGCTGGGTACAGAGCAAATGTGACTGTGACAATACTGAGGCCCTGGACCCAGCCAGGTCGAAATCCCAGCGCATCCCTAGAGAGCTGGTAAATCTCCTTTATTACTTAAGTTCTTCTAAGTTGTGACCGACTCTTGTGATTGAAAGTGACCTAACTCACACAACCTCTTTCACCAGGCAGGACAACGTGCCATCGACCCCAGCATTTCACTGCTCTCCGTCACTTACCCGAGAGTGAGATTCCTTCCGCGAGCCCATACGGAAGATAAGCAAAAATGATCATCATGCCAAACTCCAAGGAGGGCGTTTTCCTCAAGTCAATATGCTTCAGCACGTAAATCACAGTTGTCAAGGAAAAAGAACCAAGGGACAGCTGAGGGGGCATCTAGAGAAGTCACAAACTGCCGCCTTCCAAACATACTAGACAACGGACACAAAAGGTTCTGAACATCCCAAGGTAACGGGGAACATTTGTCATTACGGATTTTTTTGCATGGAGACTCTTGTTTCAAGAAACAGAATCTGACAAATCACTAAGAAATGTAAATCCCTGAGACAAATGGTAGTGGAAAATTAAAATCAACCTAAGTCGACATTTGAAAATGCTGACTTGGACGGCTGAGAGCTGGGGCACAGCTGGGCTGCAGACAGATGGGGACAGCGCACACACCAGGCCCTTCCAGGGCCGCGTCACTCCTCCGAGGACATGAGATGAGATCACTAACGGGGTTTCCAGAACTCTGAGGTTCAATGTCCCACTGAAGGACCTTCTTTCCTATTCCTGGAGATGTCTAAACTGATGCTCCTGTGAAAGGAGAGTCTTCTATGTATTCAAATATTGTTCACATGCCTATGCTGGAGCTCACAGCACCCATTTACTCAGCTACATTACAATAAATGGTTTTTCCCCCTTTTTTTAAAGAAAAAGATAAATATAGAGGAAAATACTGAAGAGGAAAGAGTCTTCTTTTCCATTCTGTTTATTGGTACAATATGAGAAGCTGTCAGCCGACTCAGTAGAGCCTTCAGACTTCTGGACAAAGGAGCTGATGGGAAAATTCAACAGGATGGTAGACAAACGTGCGTGTCACAGGGAAAGAGGCTTTCCAGCCATCTGGGAGATAGACTGCTCGTGGAGGAGGCCAGGTGGCCATCGCCCTGCGATGCAGGCTTAGGCACACAAATGGTCTGGTGCCTGTTCCTATTTTAAACAGGACGTATTTTCTATAGCAATAAAGGTGTCATTGGCCTGAACATGTCTGTTTCCTTCTCTGGCTGGAAAGGCTTATGGGTTGTTAAGTAACAAAATCAGCGCAAATAACTTCCACGGAGCTCACTTTGAAAGTCTCTTTTCTGATCCTTCCAGATAAACACATTGCAGGGGGGTAGAGATTTTCTCAATTTGACATTTTCAAAGGAAATTAACTTCCAATTTTCTGAAAGTGAAAAGTGAGACAGAGGAAAATGAAATTCATCTGAATGTGGTTATCATACTCTGGGAACTGAGAAGCCTCCAAAATCACATCTGATATCCAAGAGTTGTACGTGTTTTTTAAGCTTTGAAAAGTGACATCCTAAATTTCATATGCTAAATTAAAAAATCCTTGAGTTTAAATTAAAGTGCTCCTCAAACCAAAACTAAGCATAAAAATCCTTCTTCAAACACCACCTTAGACTAAAATTGGCCTCTTATTAAGGAACTGGAGAAAATGGCTAGAGATGGATGTAATTAAGAATAATCTTCTCAGCCACGCGTGTTCATCATATTAAAAGGATATTAATGCAGAGATTAAGCCAGTGAGGGTGCCGAGTGCTGCTGAGCCAAAGAACATTTTGAGGAAGTAGCCAAGGGCTTGTAAAAATGTTTGCCACCCACTGACATCTGACACATTTTTTCTTGTTAAACCTTCAGCTGTGCTAGGAAATAAAAGAAAAACGGAAAGAAGTTAAAATGTTATAGACAAAGTTATTAGAAACTAAGTTGGAACTTAAAAACTTATTTCTTGTTTATTCCCTCATTCACCCATCCATCGTTCAATCAGTTAGTCAAACATTTATTTGTTCACCTACTTTGCTCCAGGCACCATGTTAGTTTCTGGGGGTTCAAAGTCCCGCCCTCGAGGAGCTCTACAGTCTAATGAGGGAGAAAAACAAGATGGGAGCTCATGGCCATCGCAGGTAAGGGCGAGGGGCTGCAGAAACACAGGGTGGGCGTCTAACAGACTGCTGGGGGTCAAGGAAGGTTCATGATAACAAGTGGGCTGGGTTCAGATTTAGGATAAAGAAGAGTTAACCAGGTGAAGAAATGAGGGAAAGCACCCCAGCAGACGGAACAGCATGTGCAGAGGCAGGGACCCAAGAATAGGTGGCACATTATGGAGCATTCAACTACATAAGTCAGTACAGACAAAACACGTGAATGGGGGGAGGGGCGGCTGGGGAAGACAGCGGCAAGAGATAAGGCAGGCGCAGCAGGCAGTGCAGGGCCTGGGAAAGGCTTTTGATGAACCAAGCTAGGGAGTCCTGACGGCCCTGGGGAGTCATGGGGGTGTTTTCAGGACAGGGCGGGATTCCTGTGATAAAACCTGAAATTGAGGCTATGGCAGGAAGTCAGATGAGAATGGAATTGGCTAGAGAAGAAATGCCATTGGATACAGGCCAAGAGGGTGGATTTAGGAGGCATTAGGGGCAAGAACTGAAAGAACTTTCCTTTTACTATAACACAACAAAGTAAAATGTCAGAAGCCATTAAATTAAATTGTCGGTTTTACCCCCAAATGGAAAAGAAAACCATTATACATTAAGATGGAGTCATTCTCATTAAATATCCTCCCCCTGCTGATTCTCCCTTTGGGCTCTCTCTCAATCCCTCCCTCCCTCCTGTACTATCCTCTGTCCTAGGGCTAATGCCTCACAGATCTCTATAGCTGTGTCCTTGTCTTCCTAAGGACCAACCCACTCTCTCCTCAGGGGCCTGAATGACCTTTCAAATACACATCTGATCAGGTTACTGGCCTGTTCAAAACCCAACAGCTCCCTGCTGCTTTTTAAGGAGGAAACCCAGTCTCCTTAGCAGACCTGGCTTCT